AATTCTTAAAAGATACTTTAGGTTAAATTTTCATAAACAATTTTGGTTTCAATGATGCTGTATTGATATCCTTGTTGGTTTCTATAATTATTTAATCTAATTAATTAGAGTTCTCCCTAATGCCTCGACCAATAACATGTACTAAGCACAGTATATGTTTGAACTTAACTTTCTGATATAAATAATATTAAAGAAGTTTGAACAAGAGAAACATACTCCCTCTTCAGGACAGTGCATTTCAAATAGATAAAGAATCAGGGTTTAGTTTGCTTGTTTCCCCAGTCCATCAGAAACCAATATTTTTGTCAGGAGAAAAGAAGTGAATTAATACAAAAATAAAATAAAAAAGGAAAGACATCCAAAATACAAGCTCAAATTATTTCATTTTTGATTTATCAGGAATAAAATTACATTTCAATAAATATAACCAAAAGAAACATTTCATATGAAAAAAAGGGAACTATGGAAACTCTGCAACTTAAATTGTTCATTTAAAATGTGTGTGTAGGTAATCACTATTATGCCCATATTTTTTTCTTTCTTCAATTATAACTGAACAGTTACATGTAAAACAATTCCCGTGCCAAATACATTTTTGCACACTTTGAATAAATATCATAGACATCAATATTGACAGTTTTTAAATGTGGCAAATGAACTTACTTCTTACTTCCTCATTTATCTAATGTAAATCAGGTTAATAAATTTCCAAACTTTTGATCTTCACTTCTGTACTTATTTCACCACAAACCATAACAAACAGCAAGAATGTAGGAAGAGAATAGATCTTGCCTACAAATTCTTGCTGCTGTAGCCTCTTGAACTCCCTTCTCTTGATTCAGCAAGACCTTCAATCTGTCTGGATTTCTCTGGTGCTGCCAGTTGGAAAACACTTCCAGAAAGTTAGCGCCTGTAACTGTAGGCCCCACTATGTTTGCTACCCTTCTCCCTTGGATCACATTCCTGCACTATCTGTTATTCAATGTGTGAAAACATTTGCTTCACACTTTTTCCCCCTATTCCCTAGTTATTTAAGAAGGAAAGGTAAATTCAGGCTTGGCTGGGAGCAATTTTGTTATCTTGCATACATTTATACTGCTATATTTTCATTATAAATCACTCCAAAATATTTTCTAGTTTGCTTGATTTTTCACTTGAACCTTGAAATACTAAGAAATGTATTATTTAATATTATGCAGTTGGTAATTTTCTAATTTTATTTTTATAATTGCCTCCTCTTATATAACTGAGTAATCAATCCTGGGATATTGTTGAAAGTACCTTTTTGGCCTAGCATATGGTTAAGTTTCATACATGTTGACTTAATATATATCCTGTTTTTCTCCGGTTTTGTGTTTTCTATATATCAATTAGTTTATGTTTAAAAATTTAATTATTCATATCATCTCATTTTTTGGTTTGCCAGTTCTATCAGTTATAGAGAGAAGTGTGTTAAATAATTGCAGATTTCTTCTTTTCTCCTTTAGGTTCTGTAATACATAGCTATGGTAGTGGATGAATACCATTGTGGTAATGTGCTGTCTTCCTATTGGATTGACTCTATATTTTAAAATGTTCCTCTTATCTCTAGTCATTTTCTTACTTTGAAAACTACTTTGACTGACATTAATTAGGATAACAGAACTAGCTCTCTGTTGGTTAGTGTATCATGCTTCTTTCCATTATTTTATTTTTAGCCATTTTGCATTCTTATATTTAAAGGGTATTGCTATAAACAATATATAGTTGTTGTTTTATACCTTGACCATCAGTTTTTTCCTTAATAAATTTGGTCTATTTTCATTTTAAATAATAATGGATAGAGCTGTGATTATGTCCAATTTCCTGCAATGTCCCTTTTTTTAACTGCTTTCTTGATGACTTTTGATTTTGTAAATTTTGTGAGAATGTTTTTCTTAGCTTAACTCATTAACTACAACTATTTTGCAGTGATTACCTTAGAGACTATAAAACTCATTCTATACTTAATATAATTTTAAACAAGCTATTATTTATCACTCTCATGATACTACTTGAACCATAGACCCTTGAACTACATTACTCCCCAACTTCATTTTGCATTCTTTTAACATTTGCAATGGGCACATCTTTTAAGATTCTGCTGGTGCATAATGTTGGCTTAAACATATCCTGTTGCCTTGTTGAACTAAACATCATGATAGTATTTACTGAGGAGGTATGTCTGATATCAGAAATTGAATTTATTAAAGATTTTTTGGCGTCTGTCAAAAAGTTCATCAAAATTTTCCCATTGGCTCCTGAAATGTGATTGTTTATGGAAATCTATTTTCTAATAATGAAAAATATTTGAATCTTCTGAGAGACTATTTCTTAATAATGGTACTTTCTGGATTTAAGGTACTGATGAATTTGATTTACTAATATCTCTCATTTCATATATCTCTATCCATAATATAAATTTGTCTGTAGATTGCTGTATTTTTTTGTTCTGTTTATTTAATGTTTATTACAAGTTTGTTAACAGCATCATTGTAGCTTAAAAATTAGTTGGAAAGTTTCTCTTCTCTGTGTCTTGAAAAAGATCGAAAAACAAAGAAATTTTGTCTTCTTAAAAGTTCACAGCACTATTCAAAATAGTCAAATTATGGAATCAACTATTAATATGTCCATCAAAGGATGAATAAATAAATAAAATGTGATATATATTCACAATGGAATACAATTCAACCCTTAAAAAGAAAGAAAGTCAATCATTTGTAGCAACATGAATGGAATTAGAGAACATTATGCTAAGTGAAATAACCCAAACATAAAAAGACAAATACCGTATGTTCTTACTTATACGTGGAATCTAAAACAACTGAATTCATAGAAGCAGTGATAGAATGGTAGTAACCAGAGACTAGGGAAGGGATAGTGGGGAAATGATAGTCAAGCCTCAGTAAGAAAGAGTTAGATTTTTTTTAGATTAATTGCCAGCATGATGAAGATAGCTAATAATTAAGTTTTATATACAACAATATCACAACAAGTAAATATCTAATGTTTTCATCACAAAAGAATATTAAGTAGTTGAGGTGATGGATATGTTTATTAGCTTAATTTAAACTTTTCATATTGTATTCAAAAATCATAACATACCTTTTACCTCATAAATATGTACAACTATAGTTCATCAATATATCATAAAATAATTCTTTAAGTTTGTAGAAATTAATCTATGAAACCCTCTGGGTCATGAAACTATTTGAATAATTTCTTTATTTTGTATAATAACATAACTTTATGACAAAAAGTTTACTATTTTACTTAGTGTTTAAATTTCATAAGCACAATTTTATGTATGTAATCTGAAAAAAAAGTTTCTATGTCAGTGATTGTATCTTCTCTCATATGCCAAATGTTGTGAATTACTATTCTCACACATGAGCATCTTTTAGAGATTTGTCTTTTTCATTATAGTTCTTAAACAACTAGCATTAGATTTATTTTCATTTCTAACTTTCCTTACTTATGTTGTCATCTTTAAAACTTATTTTCTACTGATTTCATAGTGATAGAGGCAGGAGGCAGACAAATGTCCAGGCAGATAGGGGCGGGTCCCCAGTGAAACCCAACCTTCAAGCTGGAAACTGTCCCCGGTAAATCCTGGAACCCAATTAAAAACGTGCCTTCTTGTTTAGCCTACTATCCTCTGATTGATCCCCATCCTACACCTATTTTACATATACCCACCCTTTCTTAATTGGTTTTCTGTATTTAGTGCCCATGTTTGAGTGGTGTCTACACTTTGACCTTTTTTGCATACTCACAAACAAATCAGCACATACTCCCTGTTCTGAGCTCATAAAAAGGCCCAGTGTCCGCCATATTAGAAAACCTTCCTGACTTCAGGTAGGAGAACCACCCCACCCCTCCCATGACTTCTCTTTTTTCTGAGAGCTTTTCTTTCACTTTAATTGTACTCCACTTACTCTTTGAGGTTTGTTTGCTTAATTTTTCCTGGTCTTGAGACGAGAACAGAAAACTAGCTGAGCTAAAGGAGCAAAAATCCTAAATCAATAGGAGTTATTTTAATGTACTTTATTATCTCCATGTTAATATTTATTGCTGCAAACAACAGGAGATTTTGCAGCTTAAAACAACACCAATTTATTAGCTTACTGCAGGTCAGGCGTTTGCATGACGTTACTGGGTTCTCCTCTCAGTGTATCATAGGGCTAAATTCAAGATGTTGATTATGTGGAGTATTCTTTTGGAGGTTCTGAGCAAAAATCAGCCTTTGGGATCATTCTTATTTGAGGAAATCATTTCTTTACTTCAGTAGGAGTGAGTGTTCTTTTGACTGTCAATCTAATAGCTTTTCTCAGCTTCTAGAGTTCCCCCACATTCCTTGCTATGTGACATCTTCAACCTCAAGCCTGCAACAGTGTGTTCGATCTTCAAGCCTGTAACAATGTGTTCAGTCCTTCCCATGCTTTGAATCTCCGACTTCCTGTCTTTTACCTCTAGACCCAGATTTAAAGAGGTGACATGTTTCAGCCAGGCACAGTTTTCCTATCTTAAGGTCAACTGGTTTTAAAGGTGTGTGTTTATCAAGAGACAGAGATCTTGGGAGTCTCTTAGAATTCTGCCTACCGCATTTCTATGAGTGGCATCTTTAGCTCATTTGTTTTTATTTTCCCCATTGTGCAGGCTTAAAAATTCTAGAGTGCAAATCATATTTGTCTGTGTTTCCTGCTTTTTGATATATTCTGACTTGAGAATTTCATAGCTTCTTAGACTCAAGCGATCTTTAGGTTACTATTTTGGTTCCTACATGATTTAACATGCTCCTTAGGTAACACTTTTGTTATTAATGTTTTTATTTCACTGAAATAAGATAAATAGAATTGGTCTAATTTATTCTTTCCCTTTTGAGATTTTTAAAGACCCAGATATAATCAATATATAAAAATACCTTATGAATATTTTGATATATTTAAAAATATTTTTTAAATATATTTTTCTGCCTAGGAACTAAAACATTAATTATATTATTTAATTTCTCAACTTTTTTCATTTGATTATTTTATCTTCAGAAAGTTTCAAACATAATTATTTTTCCCATTTATTTTTTATTTTGAATATTTAATATAGTTCAGAGATATATTATTTGTCTCATAGATGGCTTTTGATGGTTAAATCTTCACCTTTTATCCTCATATAATACCTGACAACATGCTAAACAAAAAATTAATATGATTATAAATGATATTTGTGCAATATGATATTGCCACTAATGCTCTTATTTATAATTTTCTTTATATCACATTATTTTTCACTTTGTTTATATTATTTAGCTATCAGTCTTCATATATTTTAGTTGTTTTTTGTTTTGCAATCTGAATCCCAAGTTTCCAAGTAGTAGCGTTTAACACTTCTTTTTCAGCTGGGCTTGCTTCTGTTCCTCTACTTTATATATTATGCTCTTAAGTTTTCACACTATCCCCCCAATGCAAGTTCACTGACTTTGCTATAGTATTCAAAGTTTTTTAGTTTTTATTTCTAGTGATTTGAGAGTAATATACCTATGTTTATACTATCAGCGATTTATCTTAAAATGTAAGTGATTATCTTAAAATTTTGAACATAAATATATGCACATATATTACATGAACTCATGTTTTTAAACTTACTTTCCTCTAGCAGTAGAGAATGATCTTTTTAATAAAATGAAACCAATGATCTGACTTTATATTTTTGAAACTAAAAGTCAAAATCTTAGCTTAGAAATGCAGGCCCTTCCTCAAACAATTTATGCCTCTCTCTCCTTGCTTTGTAACTTCTGTTCTCCTTCTCTTTAGCTATGTTCTACCGTTTTAGGCTTCCAACACTCACACTGCTGTTACTCAGACTGAAATGCTTTTGCTTCCCTTTTACCTGCTACATTCTACTCGAACTTCAACATTCAGTTTAAAGATCCCCTGGAAAAACTTTTCTTAGTCACCTGCTCTATGCAGTCTGATTTAAAAAACCCTCTCCTTCATGGATGTAGCACTCTGTAGATATCCCATCACAGGACCTATCATCTTGCCCCCTAAATTATTAGGTTATTTATTCATCTTCTCTTCTTCTTGGAGCTCAGTAAGGGCACAGGCTTTGTTTTATTCTGCTTTTAATCCTCAGAACCTAGTGCTATCCTTCACATATCTGTGGCACTTAGAAATATTTGTTTACTGAATTAAGTATATTAGACAAATATCACCACTGTCTGCCCATATTCTGGCTCAAATATTCAAAAATTTCATTTACATTTATAAAATATATAATGTCATTTTCTGATTTATTCTGAAGTACCAGAAACAAAGAAAAAACAGAAAACTGAGTGTATTATAAACAATGAACTTTAGCTAACTATGTATCAGTATTGGTTCATCAATTGTAACAAATGTATTACACTAATGCAAGATATTAATAATAGAGGAAACTGGGGTAGGCAAGTACATATGAAAATCTTCTGAACTTTATGCTCAATTTTTCTATAGAAAAAAAACTGCTCAAAAAATAGTCTTATAACTACGAACACCTGTTTATATATTTCAAAAATATTATAACTGAATATACCTTACTATTTAATGATAGCTCTTTTATGTACAAATTTGACTAATATATTTGGGCACCTCTATGCCCATAAGACAGGTGAGAGACCAAGTGTTAATTGCTATATATTGTGATAAGCCCTGTCAAGACAGTAAGACAGGATGCTTTGGGAGCATGTAGGAAACCTATCAATCCTAGACCTGGGTAGGTCATCAAAGATTGCATGATGGAATTGACACCTCCAAGGAAGCCTGAATGATCAAAAGGAGTTTATGAGTAGAGAACGGAAAAATGAAGAAAATATAAACTGGAGAATTAAATCTGATCCTGTTTCAGAGTTTCAACTCTAATCCAGAGGTAATGTGATGCCACTGAAAAGATAGTTACCATGTATATGACATAATCAGATTTTCTTTCTGGAATGATTACTCTGGATACTACAAAGAGGAAAGTGGATTAGAAATAGGCAACAAGAAATGGTATCGAAGCAAGGAGACAACTTATGAAGCTTTTTTGGCCATCTAGGCTAGGAATGATGCTTCTCTAAAATGGAGTAGTATAAATAGGGTAATGAGAATTTCACAGCGGTTCAGGAAATAGTTGGATTGGATACAAGTGAGAAGAAGGCATTCAGGGTTGATTCTTCACTCTTTTACTATTCAACTAGGTGAGTGTCCTCGTGCCATTCACAGAGAGAGAAAAGATAGAGAGTAAATTTGGGTAAAGGAATTGAAAATGAGTTTCATTTGAGATTTGAGATATCTGCAGAATATGCAAATGAAAACCTCCCCTTGAGAAATGAATGTGGAGATCCCGGCCTATGTGAGGGAACTGGGTCATTGAAAGAGACTTAGGAATTGTCAGACTATCTCGGGAGTGGGCAAATTGGCAATGAAGCATTGGATACTTTCCCCGCTCTATCGAGTTATTACTTCAGAAGTACAACAACAACAACAGCGAAAAGTATTTTCTAGTGAGAAACTTCATAGATGTTTATACAATATTTTTCTCTTTGGTGACAAAATGACTTTAGAAGTAATTTATATTTAAGTTGATATTACATCTTTTGGAATATACCAGGACATTTACTGTAGAACCTTCAGCCTGCCATCCAAATAATGTGTCCTAAGGACTTTATCACTTTCTTGACTTTAATAATATGTGTATTTTTATGAAGTTGCTATCAATTCCATCAGATGTAATACTTACTTTGATAATAAAGTGGAATGCTCCCTCTATTACCCTGAAATTAAATATAAACATAATACATACACAGATAATTAAAAACTACGACACCCTAAATGTAGTATAAAGGAGGAGTAAAGAAAATATCTAATAAAATTATTATGTCTCTGTACAACTACTCTATATAACAGCACTAGAAGACATAATGAAATAATCAGATACTTAAATCCCTAGGTGTAATTATAATGAATTTGTAGCTGTAAGTGAAGGTTATGTAAACTTCAGAAAGGCATGAATTTATTCTACTTAGTTCACTGCTATTTCCTTTGTACCTGGAGCTATGCCTGAAACATGGTTTGTGCTCAGTAAAAACTTTATTAAATAATTGAAATAAAAAATTCAAGTGTTCTCTGTGATTTTAAATACCACTAGCAGCACTGCTCTCAGTGATGTGATATTCCAAAATGTGGATCAATTATCAGTGAATTTCCAAGCAATAGTCTGCCTGGTTGTTGCATTTAAGTATTATTACTGGTTTGTTAACTGTTAAGTACTAATTCATGAGAATAATCAGTAATCTGAACAAATTTCTTTAAAATAGCTTAATGTTAACTACTTTACTTAAATCAGTAATAATGAATTTGCACTAATTGATCACATATTATGTACCTGATAGTAGAGATTGCCTTTGCACACCTGTATATCTTCACCCTTGGAGAGGCATTTACTACATAATCTTTGAGTAAATGATTTCTTGCAACAATTCTGCTCTGTGAGTGTTTTGCCACTTTAAAAAAAAATTGTCTTTCTGATTGCTATATTTAAGATGTGGAGTGATTACTATGTTTTGTTACTGATATTTGAAGTAGCTTAACAGAATTATCTGGTTTCTTTATTTACAAAAATAGATATTTTACCCAGCAATTTAAGACTATGTTTAACTCATTATTATTTCAACAAGAAGTACAAAATATATCAAACTGATATTTATCATAGTCAGTTCCCAGCCCATTTCCCTTTGAGTCCCTTATCTCTTCTGTGAGTGGCAGCCTGACTCCCCACCTATACTGCTCAGGAGTTTGAGATCAGCCTAGCCAACATAACGAAACCAGGTCTCTCTACTAAAAATACAAAAAATTAGCCAGGTATGGTGGCACATGCCTGTAATCTCAGCTACTTGGGAGACTGAGGTAGGAGAATCTCTTGAACCCGGGAGGCAGAGGTTGCAGTGAGCCAAGATTGCATCACTGTACTCCAGCCTGGGTGACAGAGCAATATGCTGCCTAAAAAAAAAAAAAGAAGAGCTCAGTTTCTTGAACTATAAGCTCTATGTAAAACAAGATTTAAATATTAAACTCAGAAATCGTATCTACAAAAAATGATTTTGAAAGATAGTGAAAAATACATCTGTATTGGAAGGCTGCCCTCTTTTTCCAGAACCTTCTTTGCCAATGCACAGCTGAACCAGAAATGTCTGGGAGCTAGCATGTCCCTGAGAGCCTTTGCCAGTGGGTTTAATACCCCAGGTCCTTCATCTTGGCAAGAATAATCCTGAGGCATGTCTTTTCACCGTTCCTCAGAGCTGACCTGGGGAATGTGCTTCAGAACAACTTGACAGCCTGCTTTTCCCTTCCTGGATCATCTTCACACTCCTCTGCTTGTTTCTCCTGCAACTCCAAAATAAATAAAGCATGTATCATTCTTTTCTCAGGATCTGATTCCCTTAGGGTAAGCTAATAAAGGGAGTTAGAAATGGTTCTAGCAAACAGATCCTCAGAGGGGACCCTAGGGTTGGGTCTCGGGCTGGCCAGGTAGCAAAAGACTGCCTTACTGGTAGCAGTCAGGATAATGATAACCTTTGACATTCTATAGCATAACCATGAATACCCTTTTCACCAGGGGTGAAATGAAATGGAGTATCTATGGAAGAGGATGCAGTATCACTGATTTAAGAGATATGGTGGCAATGGTCATTAAAGACTGTGGAATTCTTTAGTTGTTTTAAAATTTGATTAATAAGCTAAATTGAAATATTGACAGTCTCAAATCAAAAAACAGATATCTTTTCCCAGAGGGGAGGCCAAAGGGAATCTTTGATAGTATTTAAAGATTCCTTCATCTCCTGCAACTGGAAGGCAGACCAGGACAAAAACTAGACGCAGCACCTAGTTGTGAGAGTAGCTGAATTACAGAGAAGGCATGACTCCTAGTACTGACATGTCTCCTATGCTAAATAAAGGGCCTACGTACAAAAAGAATGTGCTCTGGCTACCTGGGAGGGGAATATCTGAGTGTATATACTTGAGAATGCTTAATCCCCCCATTCCCTTGAGTCCTTCAAGGCTGCAGAAGAGGCTTGCTTCTCTTGCCTGGAGACCTTGCAGTGGCCTCTGCTGCAATGGATGCTTCCCAAGTTGATAACTGAATTTTCCAAGATTTCCCTCCACTTCCCCTCATCATTTGTAGACTAATCGCTGGTATAAAGTTTAGTAAATTACCTCCTCTAAGAAGAAAGGAATTCTTCCATTCCTCACTCCCTCAAAAAAACTATAGTTCTTACAAATATGTACTGACAGGACCCCAAGAATGGGTTTTGAGGGCACTAAATGAATAAAGGGAGGGTGTTGAGTGGCATGCAGAATATGAAGCTATACTAGGGAGAGTTTGTAAATATGAGAAACAATCTAACAGTACAGTATGCAACATACTGACAAGGACAGCTGGAGCTTATTCTAATTTCCTTCTAAAATGGCTCCCTGAAGCTTGGAAAGAAATGCTGGCCTCTAATAAATGGATGGATATGCTGAAATGCCTTGGCAGAACACTGTGGAAGGATTCAAAATGCTTAGAGAGGTAGGCATGCTAGAATGAATTTATTCACTATCTGACCTATTTTCTCAGTGAGAGCCCAGAGGACTCTCCATTTAGTAAATCAATATGGAACGAGCTAGTGAGGATAGCACCAATACTGTGTCCTTTCTAAGTCAGAGTCGATGAAGAGGACACTGCTCTGGAATTGGACTCCCCAGAGTCAATGAGGACAATAGGATTCTGGCATAGCAGAACCCTGAGGCTGGCATTAAATACTAAAGAAAAATTTTAAGTAGCTACCAAAGTGTAGCAAGGCTGCAATGGCTAACACATTTGTAATCTGCAGTATGTAATTATCTATGGTTTTTATGTAAAACTTAATACAGACCTACATTCATTATCATAAACTTAACTGCATATCAGTATCTTAAAATAATCTTCCTGTATTATATGTTTGTGAAAAGAAATCAATTCTAGTCATCCGAGAGCACTTGTAATAAATATGCAAGAAAAACAAATTATTGACATTTCCTGGAAAGGTGAACATTAATTTTGTTATACAAATTTCATGACTGAATATTAAGTATTGATCTTTCCAGGCCAGAGTTTTTTTCACCTTAATTTTTATCTTCAAATTTTTACTTTAACATTTTTCTTCACGATATTGAAGCAGCGTCATTTGTCTAGGGTGATAACTGAGGTTTGCTGTCTCATAGCCATGGAAAACTAGGACATGGACACACAAAGAGTGAGGTTCAGAGTTTAATAGGCAAAGAAACAGAAGAGCTCTCTTCCTGGTGAAATGCAGCTCGGGTTTACAGATGAGCTTGAGGAGGCGGTGTCTGATTTACATACGGCACAAAGATTGGTTGGACCAGGTGTGCTATTTACATAGGGCACAAAAAACTAGTTAGGGTTAGGTGTGTCATTTGCATAGAACATAAAAAGCTGGCCATCCCCACTCTGATCTTTTATTATGCAGCTGGATTTTCTACCTGGCCAGCGCCATATTGCCTGTTTCTTTACTGTACACATGGTAACAAAGAAAAGGGAAGATGGAGCCTTCAAGTTGAACCTACCTGGCCCCCAGGTAGACCTTTTCTATTGACACAGCTGCTAGCTTTCACCCATGCAAGCTTCCAGCTTGCTTATCTTTGTCTGCAGCTCGATTTTTCAGGCTGCTCCTTGTTAGAAAAGAAATGATTTGGGGGCTGCTTTTGTTAAAAAGGGAAATTCAGCCGAGTACTCTTGCCCTATCTGCCTAAATTCTATCTCCTGTATCAATACTCTTTGCTTCTCTGATAGAAAAAAGTATGTGTGCATGTGAGTATGAGAGTTAGTGGGTGAGGATATTACCACTGTTCATTACCAGGAGTAAACTGGGATATATTCTAGTAAGAAATGCATATAGCAAGTCATCCCAGTCCCTTTTTGGACATTTCTTGCCTAGGAGTCACTTTATGCCAAGAGAAGTGATTTATTGGCATTATGGTGTTAAATATTCCCCCATTCTGCTTAAGTGGCTGTATTTAAATGAAGTTTAAGTACTCTAGAACGTGTGGAAGCATTAACAGTCAAGTGAGCCAGTGCTTTCTATTTTTCAATGTGTATATTTGGGTAGTAGATGGCATGCATGTGTACTTAGATGTGAATCCCCTGGGTATTCTAGTGTTTACTTAATATTTTTGATTAGTAAACCTTTTATTAAGGTGATTATTTTAATTTTAAAATTAAATTTAGAGAAATCCAGAAAAATACTGTGTTTAAAAATATCACTAACCTCTTTGCCACTTTATAGTAATCCAAGTGTTTCAACTCACTTCTTTTTTTATTTATATATTTGCTTTTTATACTGATTATTTAACTCTAAACCCTTCCTTTTCATTTATGAAAATGATATATGTTTTTCCAAGAGCTAGCATCTCATATAATATTTAATGGCTTTATAAAAGCTATTGAATGTATATACTATAATTACTTGGTCAGGATTCTAGCTACATAAACAGAGATTCTGTATTAGGGTTCTCCAGAGAAAAAGTACTAATAGAGAGATACAGAGAGATATAAATATAGATATAGATTTATAAAGAGATTCCTCATGAGGAATTTGCTTACTTGATTTTGGAGACTGAGGAGTCCCATGATCTGACCTCTGCAAGCTGGTGACTGAGGAAAGCCAGTGAGATGATTCTAATCTGAGTCCAAAGGTCTGAGAACCAGGAGGGCTGATTGTATAAGTTCTAGTCCAAGTCCCATGTCTGAATACTGGGGAGCAGATAGTGTAAGTCTCTGCTCAAGGGAAGAAGATATGGATGCCCTAGGCCATCAAGTCAGGGAGAGAGAGTGAATTCTCCTTTTCTCTGCCTTTTTTGTTCTATTCAAGCCTTCAACAGATTGGATGCTTCCCACTCGCATTGGGAAGGGCGATCTTCTTTCCTCAGTCTATTGATTCAAATGCTCATCTCCTCCAGAAACAGGTATTTGTTTGACCAAATATCTGTGCACCCCTTGACCCAATCAAGTTGACACACAACATTAATTATCACAGGTTGTTTCACTATTGATTATTCAGAATAATTCTGTCATCAGTATTTGTCCTTATTTTATCTTTTTGTTCATATTTCAGAGTTTATAATTAATTTCTTAGAATAGATATTCAGACATGGAATTACCAGATCAAATTGCATAATTAAATTTAAATTTTCAGCTGGGCACTGTTGCTCCTGCCTATAATCCCAGTACTTTAGGATGGCAAGGCAGGAGGATCACTTAAGACCAGGATTTGAAGACCAGCCTGGGTAGGGCAACATAGGGATGCTCTGTTGCTACCAAAGACTTTTTAGAAATTGGCCACGCATAGTGGCACACACCTGTGGTGTCAGCTACTTAGGAGGCTGAGGTGGGAGAAGCCATGAGTCTTGGAGGTTGAAGACGCAGTGAGTTGTGATTACGCCACTACACTCTAGCCTGGGCAACAGAGTGAGATCCTGTCTCAAAAAATACATTTATAATTATCTCAAATTATTTCTGAAATAATTTTTTATCATTGTATATTTGACCACAAATTTATTATTATGTAGTATTATTTTATATGCTTAATTTTAACAGAATAAAAATTTATATATCATTTTCCCATTATTAACCATTTATATGTTCTCTTTCTTTAAACATCAGATCATATCCCTTGGCCACTTATCTATTGGAATTATAGGACTTTTGTGATGGATTTCTGAAGTCTTTATTTATTGATACTATTAATAATATTGATACTTCATCTAATGTGACCTTCTTAATTACATTTGACTTTGTATGCTTATTGAACAAGGTTCTAACTTTATGTACCAAAAATCCAGTTTTATTGTAATATACTTAAAATGATAAACATCTCATTATCTTATGATTTAATGAACTATTATTTTTATTTCTTCCTGAAATCATGTTTGAATATTTGCATCACAAATCTTATTATGGTATAATATATGAGATGAATATATAAATTCATTATTTTCTAAGTAGCAAACTGATTACCAAAACGGTGTTATTAAATAACCTTTGTCTTGCTCACTGGTTTGTGATGCCTCTATGACCACAGTAGTTCTCATGGAAGATTAGGTCTAATTCTTATATTTTGTAATGTACATTGAGATCTATCTAATTTTGTTAGTATCATGTCCCCTTAAGTATTATAGTTTTATAACTTATTTGATGTCTATTATATCTTGCTCCGCATTTTAATTTTTTGAAAACTAGCTCTCTCATGTTTTTAACATATAAAATTTGAAATTCTAATTTCCAGTTTTTCAAAAATTATTTCATCTTTTATTTAGAATAAAATTGCATTAATAAAATAATTTAAAATAAAAAGGTATTTAAAAATATGCACCCCCTTTGCTTGAAGCATGTTGTATCTATCCAACTTCTTAAGTCTGCTTTAATTATCTCTATATTTGGTAGTTTTTACTGGATGTGTTTCATTGAGGTTGCTTTTAGGTATTTTGTTACTGCAAATGGGGATGCAATTATAGGCAAAGCAAGTAGAAACATAACGGCTTTGATGAAAGCTCCAATCTCAACACTGTCCATATATATTTGACCACATCACTAGACCTATAAATTTGAATTCAGGCGATACTCCAGATTTTATTTGATCTCATTTCTCATTTTGAGCCATCCGGCAAGTATTCACAGTTATTGATGTCAAGAATTTCTCAAACTGGATCAATAAAATGTCTTCCTTCCTAAATCCCACTGGACTAGACTGAGGGCTGTGAGGAAAGCTGATTTACTCTCGCAATTCTGTAGAGGAAGTAAGAATGGAGAGCCGAAAAGCTCTGTCACCGGCTCACTGTTCCATCCATAAGCTTTCCCTCCCTCTTCTCATTCTCACCCTGAGCACCAACTACCATACAATGTAGTTGCTGTCCAAATATATACTTCTAGTCCAGGTCCTCTGACGAACCATACCATAAATATATCTTCACTCAGACAAGCTCAATTTGTCCAAAACTGAACTCAAAAGAATTTTGCTCAAGTAGGTTACTTCTGCATTCCATATGGGCAACAGCGCTGCTATCCACCCAGCTGGTTATGCCTAAAAGAGACTTAGTTGCTTTTTTTTTTCTTCTTTCCCCAATGTAGTGTCCAAGTCTCCTTAACATCTCTTCAGTGCATAACCTCCTCTCCATCCTATCTGCTACTGACTTGGTTTAGAATCCCGTTCTCCCTCTCCCTGGCATGAGCAATAGTTGCCCCACATGTCCTCCTCTATAGTCAGCTACTCCCACCATCTATCCTTCCCACTTTAGACAAAGGGAACTTTCTAGGAAGCAAATCATTGTTGACTTTTTCTGTCTTTTAAAATACTTCAGTGGCTCGTTATTACCCTAAGAAGAAAAAGTATTTTATTTACCTGGATAACTATATAATATCTTGCATATTACTCATCCTGCTAAGTAACTCTTAGTTAAGCAAAAGCATTTGCATTGCTAAGGTAGTAACATGAAATAGAATGAAAGAAAACAGTCTGCCAGGCACAGTGGCTCATGCCTGTAATCCTAGACCTTTGGGCAGGCTGATCTGGGCAGATCACGAGGTCAAGAGATGGAGACCATCCTGGCTAACATGGTGAAACACCATCTCTACTAAAAATACAATTATCTGGGTGTGGCACACGCCTGTAGTCCCAGATACTCAGGAGGCTGAGGCAAAAGAATCACTTGAACCCGGGAGGCAGAGGTTGCAGTGAGCCAAGATTGCGCCACTGCACTCCAGCCTAGCAACAGAGACTCCGTCTCAAAAAGAAAAAAATCAATAATCAGGCATTATACATTCAACTGGGAAACCTGAAGGAATCAGCGCAGTTTATACCAGAATCCAGCTCCCACTCCAGGAGAGATAAGAGGAAGAATATTACTGAGGGTGACGACAGTGTGGAAGAATGAGGAAAAGTGACCTAAAAGTTGGTGCCCAGGAGAAGAGGGAATGAGCAGTGGCTGAGGGGAGCAGGAGGTCATCAGCATGGAGAGAAGTGAGGGGATAGTTTTGGTGGCCAGTCCAGGAGCTGTGTGAAATCATCCAATAGGTGTCTCACCAATGGCGGAAGCCAAGTCAATGCCTGATTTTTGTGCTTACTTCCATACTGGCTGTTCCTCTTCTTCCTGTCTTCAGTGGTATTCCATCAACAGCAGTCCATTTGTGGTTCATTCAGAAAGATGGCACTCTGGCCCCATGACTTTGCTTATTTTTTATACAGACCACTTGGCACGGCCATTCTCCTTTAATGGTCGAACACATTAAGAAACAGAAAGTGAAGTAAAATTAACTCCTGAAAGAGCCTTGTGTATCAGTGCAATCCTCAGCACTCCTACTTGGAGGGACTGCACTGTGATTAAAGCTATTGGGTGACATGTGCATACACTTAGCTGTCCAATGTTACCTGTTCCTGTGACCTCCCATGCTTCAACCTAGTAACCTGTTTGAGTTACCCCTAGATACACCAGGTGGTGGGAAGCTTCCACATCTTCATAGTGCTCTTCCTTCTCCTGAGAAACTCCCTTCTCTACCCCACATAATTTTCTGGTGCACATGTTAATCCTGTAAGACCACATCTTTTTAAAAAGTGCCTGCCTCTTACCTTGTCATACACATGAAAATAAAACAGTGCAACAAAGTGTTTGGTTATCGCCCCTCCCCTGCCATTACCGCCCACCTACCTCCACTCACCCGTGGTTCCAGCCTCCGGAGCTTGTCCATCTCTCTATTACAACAACTATTCCCTTAAGCAAATGTTGAATAAATGAATGAATGGACAAATAAATCTATTCTGTTAATCCTTAACAGCCAGCTGAAGGCTTAAATCAGAGAACTTAAATTGCCCTTGAAATAATCACTGCAAGTTGTACTACTCATCAGACAATTCCCTATTTCTGTCAAACTATCCCTAACTCAATATTTAACTTATTTCCAACTCTGTGATGCTTCCCAAAACTAGAATCACCTTGGTAGCCAGGCTCATAGACTTCAAAGAAACCTGATGCTGCTATGGATGGAAATAAGCAGCAAGCTGTTTTGTGTGGTGGGTGCCAAGCTTAAGTAAATAGACACAGAGGAGCCAAACATCCACCTGCATTTCAATATGATCAGATTTACACACACACACACACACACACACACACACACACACTCTCTTAAAGTTAGTGCTTTATGCTATGAGAGTATTTTAGACTTCAGGAAACTCAAATTTAATAAAACCTATTAGGTGGCTGGCTATAACTTTATATAAGCTGAATAAACACACCTTCGTTCAAACTGATACTTCTGCCTTTCTTCTTTGAGTCTCTAATCATCCAAAGCCAACTCTCCAGTTCCTGAATGCTTCAGATTATCTTCCATGAAAGTCATTGTTTTGTCTATGAAGTTTATCATAACTTTTGTGATGGACTACAGTCTAAGGTGTTAGCAAATTAGTTTCTGATGGACTATAGACTAAAGTGTTAGCAAATTAGTTTCAGCTTTCCTCACCTTTTTTTTTTTTCACTGTGAAGCAGTTCATTACAAAATAGACACATTTCTAAATCAAATACTTGAGTCATTATTGATGCACATAGACAATAGAGATGATTTGGTGAAGAAATGCCTAAAAGTTACTTTCCTGTTTCCATATTTTTCTAGTTGATTGAATGACTTCTATGCTCAACTCCAAATTTAAGTGTTCTGTTTTTAACCATCATTATATTGTTAGTGGAAGGCTTTTAACCTTTACATTCAGGAAGCCTCTTAGTCCAGCTCAAGCTTATTGACTTCTAATGCTTAATGTACATTATTTTTAAACAACTCAAGTCTATATATTTTATAGATCTATAGTTTGAGCAATAGTAGAAGAATGTTTAAAGAGCCAATTGTTTTTCAATTACTGTAATGATGGCTCCAAGATAGGCACAAATCCCAAACCTAAAAAAAAAATGTGAAAAATTGGAATTCTCTGTCAAGTGTTAAAATCTCTAAACCCAAAGCAACTCTAAGACTCAGTATAATTCATTTTTTCAATGGCCACCATAATGGAATTTTTTGCACAATAAGAAGCAAGGAAATGTTATCTTCTTTAAGTTCTTAAATGTTTTATTTAGTATCCTTAAATTAGAAAGGGAAACTAAACATTCGCACAATCAAATATATACAAGGGGTCTGTATGTTCTGTATTTTTTTTAAGTTTTCTCTCAGCAGATAACAACACATTTTGCTGGGATACGCATTAAGACTGTGATTTTGAGATACAGTCAACTAAAACTACCTTCATGCAACTGCTTCCAGGGTTAATAGCAGAAAAGAAATTGTTGTGTGCCTCTTGTTACAGCTCTTGACTATTTTTAAGGTAGCTTTATGGTAGTCTTAGGGAAAGGGAGGAAGATCCAGAAGAAAAATAGTGAGACTTCAGGTGACAGAGAAAGAGTTACAAAGTGTTCTGAAAGGATACAGCCCAAAGGCTCTAGAGCAACATAGTATTATTAAATCCTGGATTAAAGTGAAATGATCTAGGAGACTTCATGAGACATATCTGCAAAGCAGTGCCTTTAGAAATATTTATTTAGTGAGCCTAATTATGTAAAATAGTAAGACTTGGTGAGAAAATACAATATTGTCTCTTTAGATATATATTTAACAAAATTAGGGAGTTTTGAGTTTGAGCATTTATCATTCTACTAAGGCCTTTAGCACATAGTTATTTATTCCATGGCATGTATTATCCTGTCTTCCATAGACAAGTACAATAAGATTAAGGAGGATGAATGGACTGTCTCACTTTGCCTGGGAGATTCAGGTGAGGTTTGTGCAGAGACTTCAAAGAAATGTAGAATTTTCTAGGGTGGGCAGGAGATGTGGCTTGCGGGGAGGAAAGTAAATTTTAGAAAAAATACCATGTGCAAAAAGGGTACATTTAAGAAAAAATATGTGCAAAAGTATACATTTTAATTGAGCATTCTGTTCAATTCATTGTATATTTAAGTTGTTCTTATTATATAGTGGGAACTGTACTAGGAGAAGGAGCCACAAAGGTGGAGGATGGTATGAGATAGCACGATGTCTTTAAAAACTGTAGAGCAGTATTCTGATAGCATTTAGTTTAACTCTATCATTTTATTTTTTAACTATTTTTTCTACTATACTTCTAAAACATGTTTCTATACTAAGAGAACTTACACAAACACCATAACAAGGCAAAATTTGGCACTAAAGTATAAGCCACAGAATTACAAAGGCAATGCATAGAGATTTGATATATGAGTGTTTTGTACATATTTCAATTATTAGCACATGGTTGGATATAATTCATCACTAAAAACTGATTGTTTTACTTGTACAGAAGCCAATATAGCTGCAGCTATCTTTTCAGTCAATTAATGTCCACTTGCCTGCCAGTTTTTACCATACATACCTTTGTCCTCCATGAAGCTAATTCCCCAACTGTTTAGGAAATTCAAATGGAACTCCTAAACAGTTCACACACAGCTTTTGTTAATAAATTCTCCAACATATTTCAACCACATCAGACTTTATAGCTATACATTTTAAAAAGTGTAAATTAACTCTTGACAAGGGAAATTCAAAACTATTCAAAGGCAAAGCCTGTGAATGAGACAAAGGATGAAAGGAGAATAGATGAAGTAATGCAAGAGTCAGCTGAGGAGGAAAGGATGCCAAGTAGCTGTGATATAACAGCATGAAACAAAGTGGCTTCATTAATACACCGCAAAGTACCAGAATGCTGCACAAGACAACACTTAGTTTCCAAACCAAACACAACCAGAGTTTACCACTATTGATTTTAAATAGCAGCTGCCTAATTGCTAGAAAGCAGATAGTTAAGCAGTTGTTGAGATCTGCAAATACAAATAAGCATTGTCACAAATATATCTGTATCACAGTGAGTATGGCTTTGGGTTGTGTTAGTTACACAATGATTGTGATATTTAGCCATCAGAGTAACTGAACTTTGTAATTAGCAGTAGCAAACAGGTATATAAATAGCAGTTACATCGGTGATAGTCAAATCACAGTTTTAAAAAAAAAGATGTAAAGAGCTTTATTACTGTGCTTTTATTTCCTAATTTTAAAATCAGTTTAATCTAGTTCCAGCAATAATTCATTTTAAAATGATAATCTTTGTCACAAGAATATTTATTCTATGAATATTTACTCAGCATCTTCCATGGTAGGTGCTTATGATGCAAAAAACAAAAATTTTCCTATAGTTATTTCTGTGTTGCTGATGTTAAAAGAATTTATAGAATAAACAGCTTAGGGAAAAATGATAAATGTATAACCACACAACTCCTTAGCTTTGTTAAATATGTATCTGAAGAGACCATATTATATTACTCAACTCCCTCAAATTTAACAATCTAAAAAGGGTGATATATTTTGGCTAGTCAAAATTTTAGACTTGGATTCTACTGTGGATTATCAATTTCAAAGAATTACATTGCCAAGAATATGTTACAAATAATGTTCATGTTATACTGAACTCAATCTAGTTTTGCCTCCATGAGCTAAGATATTCAAATCCTTAGTCAGCAAAAGCATCCATTTTAATTGAGTATTCTGTTTAATTTTCTGTATATCTAAGTTGTTCCTATTACATAGCAGAAACTGGACTAGGAGAAGGAGCCACAAAGGTGGAGACATACTTTTCCTTTCTTGGGAAAACAGCGGAGAGAAGGACAAGTAAGAAACCACAAAATATATTTTGGTAATTGTTTTGGGAGCAGATCTATAGGCTCAAAGTAGGAGTTGTTAGTTGGGCCCCCTGACAAAGCAGGCCTTGAAATAAGAAATTGAATAGAATTAGTTTATTTGAGAAATGATTACAGGGAACATTATTAGGGAATGAGGAAGCAAGACAGGAAAGGGATAGAGTCAGGTAAGGGTGCATTGTTAACAAGTTTCCACCTGGCTCGCTAAAGTCTAATCCAACTGGGGAGGTTTGGAAAATGGTAAACGACACAGTCTCAGATTTATCATGCCTGAGGGAGAGGGATTTGGAGTATTTATAACAACTGCCAGCAGTTCTTGGTCATGGTCTATTCAGAAAGGTGTTAATTCTCTCATACTTCTGATTTGCAAAGGGAAATAAAATCCTCAGACCAAAACAACAGCAGCAGCAGCAGCAATGACAAAAAATGTTTGGAAGGAGGGCCAAAAGGAAGGAATAAGGGTCAGGTACTGACACTACAGTAATCACTGATCTCTTTGTTGTGACTATGGAGTTCACTTTATTCCCAGTATTTTTTTTCTACACCAGGACCTCCATTTTTTCTGTTTTGTCATTTGTCACATTTAACTTTCCACTTTACCTTAGATTGTGAGACCAATCGCAGAAATTATTTATTTACACATTTCCAAAATGTCTTTTCCTCTCTTACTCTTCTTCATGCTTGTCTCAAAAATTCCACTACTAGTTAAATGTAAATGTTCTTCCTGCTTTGCATCTAAACCTAGCAGTGCACTATCACTAGACAAAAACACCTGACTTCAGTGACTGGTCTCAGATAAATTCAACCACAGACCTCAAGCAGGTACTTAGAACAGCCCCACCATCCTCTTGCTATCCCCATTCTCCACTTTCAAACTTGACTAGTTCATAATGGTTCCATGGTCAAACTTCAATAACCATGCCTCAGCTGATAGTCTTGCCTCCTGTATCACTGAGGATATAGATGGCTGTCATAAAACAAAATACTTCATTTTATTACTACTAATTCTACCTAATTATCTTTATGCCCATGAACTCCATTTTTCACCTGTTACAACTGATGAACTTTCTCTGTTGGTATGGCCAGAATTTCCAATGATACACTAGATGTCATCCCTTTTTTTTGCCAAATCAAGAACTTTATTCCTATGTTATCCATCTTTCCTGAAACATATATGTATGTATAGGATTAGTTTCATCAGCATATGAACATACTCTAGGAACTACCACAGTAATATGAACTTTAGTAATTAAATACCCAATTAAATAGCATTTCTAAGCCTCAGTTGCTTCATCTATCATAAAGAATAATAAAATAAAATATATATATATAAAATAAAATAAAATATACCTTTTTGGATTATTGTTAGCATTAAATGAAATGAAGCCTAAAATGCTCCCAAAATATATGACATTAATAATTTATTAATATTCTATTACATAGCTAAATAAAATAAAGCTAAAACATTTTCTTCTCTGAAGCATTTCTTGATTTGTACATTCATTCTGGAACAGATACTCAGACTCAAAGATCACTGGAAAGCCAAATGAGTTTCCAAAAATGGCCATAACACACCTGGACCCATATTCTCTTCTAGAGCGTTGCCCCTACTCCCTCAAGAAGTTAAGTATATGTGCTTCTCTTTAAACCTGAGTGGGTTCTTTTAACTTTTTCAACTGATAGAGTATGGCAGAAGCAAAACTGTGTGATATCTAAGGCTAGGCAATAAAGGGGGACAGAGCATCCACCTGGTGCTAGCTCTCTTTCTCTCTCCTCCTCTTAAAATGATCACCCATGAAAATCAGCTACTGGACCAGCCCATTGAAAGAAACTGAAGTTCCCATTCCTGAGTCATCGCTGTGCTTTCCAGCTGACAGAGCACCACTTTGCCTGCTGTGTGAGTGAGCCATCTCAGAAGCAGACCCCTCCAGTGTTCAGATGAGTCACATCATCTGGTGTTGTATAGATATGACTTTTACATAATGATGCAAACTCAATATTTTAAAAACATTTATTCATGGAGTAACAATGCCAGCTTGGACTATGACAGCAGAGACCTTAAAACATGAAAAGGGGTGTTCAGACTCCAAATTTATGTAAGCAGGAAGCAGACTAAGAAAACTACCTCATCAAACACATGTTACATATTATGGAAGAGGAAGCGTAATTCAGAAGCAGAACCAAGAATTTAAAGAACAGACCCAAGAGCCATGGAGCTGATGTGACAAAGTGCCAAACACTGGGTGACTTAAACAGAACTTGATTTGCTCACTTCTCTGGAAGCTAGAAGTCTGAAATCAAAGTGTCAGAAGGGTTCCTTTTCCCTAAGGCCTGTCTTCTTGGCTTAAAGATTGCTGTCTTCTTACATCTTCCCCATGGTCTTTCCTCTGTGTGTGTCTGCACTTAATTTCTTCTTCTTATAAGAATGCCAGTCATATTGGATTAGGACTATCCATACAACCTCATTTTAACTTAATTACATCTTTAAACATCCTACTCCTGATAAAGAGTAAATGGAGGCACAAAACCTTAAAGAGTTTATTTGAGCAAGCAACAATTCATGAGTTGGCTAGCTCCAAACCAGAAGTGGTTCAGGAAGTCCAACGAGGAAATGCAAGAAGGAGGCTTTCATAGGATGAATACAGAGGGAAAGCAAAGAAAATATTTGATTGAGTACAATTATACAATTGCCTTATTAGGCCTATCCCATTGGAAAGTCTCTAGTTTTACAATTATAATTTTAGTGGCTACTTCTGATTGGTTGAGCTTAAGTTCTGCTTTTCTTTAATGTAGACATTTACAAGAAGTAGCTCAAATTAAGTTTCACTGATGTTTGCAAATCAAGGGAGGTTTAAGTCATTTATGAGGCCTCACTGGTTTCATCTTCTCAAGAGATTCTTTAGGCCTTGTCTTTATTTTAATGTATTTTAACATTCCAAATAGAGCCATATTCTAAGGTACTTGGGATAGAGATTTCAGCATATGAATTTGTGGGGATACACTCCAACTCATAACACCACTGCTTTGGGTTTCTTCTTACATGGTAATATATAACCCAAACATCCCCTGTTTTCTGATAATATCCTAAATTGTTTACATAGCACTTCTGGAAGTGTCCTTTCTCACTCACTTTTTGAACTGTTTAAGAACTAGGACTTTCCTTTTTATTTCTGTAGCCTTAATTCATAGTACAAATTTCACAATCAAAGCATTCCTGGCACATAATAGGTATTCAATAAATGTTTGATGATTAAATTCTTTAAAGGCCACCTCATGTTCTTTAAATGTTTCTTCAATATGCATTTCATAGAATGGTCTATTGTCATCTATTCTGTGATGGAATAGGCAGTGCCACTTCATTTGGCTAATAATTTTCAACACAACATTCAAAGCCCTCCAGTTTAACTCCAATCTATCCTTCTTGCCTCATTTTCTACTTCCCTTTACCATTTCACTACACTTCAACCCGTCTTGGCCATAAGCTCTTGCTTCAACATGTTCCATATTTTCTCTATTGTTGGCTATGAAAAGGTGGGCAAATGTGTAGAGGTCTACTTCCTTTTGAATATTTTTAGTGATCCCTCCTAACCATCTAAGATGATTGTTGTTTCTGGTAAACCCTTTTACACCATTTTGTACTTTGGCATTCACCTTATTCTATCATGTAATTCATTCATACGTACACTCCTTCTACCTTAGTTCTCAGATTGTAAGCTGCTATAAGGAGTGCTTCATGTTCATATTTACACTCCCTGAAGTCCTGAGAAGAACATTTGTAACGTAGTAGATCCTCAAGTATATGTTAAACTGCTTTAAATTGATTAAAAACTAACGAGTCCTCTCTCCTTATAGATATTAAGTATACTAACTTTAAAGGGTTTGAGTAAATACATGTAGAGAGAAATGCTTACAAGGACTATAATTAAGCAAAATAGGCTTTCCTTGACTTCTGCAAGCAAACTAATTTGTGTGTATATCATTTAGAATTTATTAAAATCTTAAATTCAATATCTGAAATTATTTGATTATTTTGCTTCTTGTGTTATAGTTTCTTCTGATATTTGATCTGCTATGATTATATATGTTAATCTCTTCCAACTTGATTTACAAAATTTGTTTTCAATTAGTGCACCACTCATTTCCTCAAAGGTTGTCTCTCACATCTGCTCATCATATATGTATCTTCAAATTCAATCAAGATTTTAATTCTTCTCAACCTCTCCCCAACCTGTGAATATCACTTTGTTGCACTGTAAAATGCATAAGAACTCCTTTACATTATTTGAATTTAATTTTGCAATATATTATGTATTCTCAGAAAAAGCACTACATTGACACTCATAGTGTTGAACTGCATAATTTTAAAAAGAGCTAATTTGAGTATAAAATAATTATTTAACTGACTACTTAATATCTAAGTATATCTTTCACTTAAAAAAACTGATGGAATTTCTTTGATCAACAGCAACAGTTCATGTGACTTAGTTAAAAACATTTGTATATTCAGATACTGGCAACAGAAAAATGGCTTGGAGATTTCTCAGCAAAACTACTCTGTTTCAGAAATATCTTGTCTCATATTTTTATTAGTATATAATTATAATATTCTAAATGTCAGTTATTAAATTAAATAAAGAGGTGAGATTTTTAAGGTTTACTCTAACACCTCTTGGTGTTCTGCTCAATAATGTACAGTGCAACTAAGTAGAGTCACTCACAGAGTGACTGTATAGAATTTCATACCCTTCTCCTCAAAGAGTGGTTAAAATACTTAAGTAATATTTCCATTCTTTAATAGATGTTAGAGAAATCACATTATAAAGTTATTTCGATTGTACCACTGCACTCCAGTCCTGGTGACAGAGTGAGAGTGACCCTGTCTCTAAAAAACATTAAAAATAAAAGGAGGAAAATCCAAGATGGCCTTTTAGGAGCAGCTCAGGATTGCAGCTCCCAGGCAAAGTGCAGAGAGTAAGGGGACACCGCATTTCCAGAAACATCTTTTTGAACACAGACCAGGAGGTTCCCAGGTGGAGGAGCTCCACAGGTTGCCAGCGTGGTTGTTTCAGCCAGCACGGCTGTTTTGCTGGTGCCCCAGCACAGCAGCTCTCCATACAAAATACACTGGTCTGGTTGCCCTTTTAAGCTGGCAATTGGAGCTCCAAGAAGGGAGATTCACCCATTCATCTGATTAAACAGGGGTCTGAAACAGGGAGCCAGGCCAGGAGATTCCCAGGCAACGCCGCTGTTTCAGATGGCGCAGTGGGTCGCCGCACGAGAAATCACACAGGTCCTGGCACCCTTTCAGCAGGCAACTGGAACACCTGGGAGAGAGTCAACCGTTCAACTTTAAAAAAAAAGGTTCTGAGGCAGGGAGCCAGGTGATCAGACGTTGCAGGTCCCACCCCCACAAAAACAAAAACAGAAAAACAACAGTTGGAAATGCTCAGGGTGGAGCATTTCACAGACAGCACAGCTGAACCAGGGACAGTCCAGCTCAGTGGGGGAGAAGCGTCTGCCATAACTGAGGCACTCCACCCCTACAGAGGTAGTCCACATTGTTGAGGCAGCCTGCCATTGCCGAGGCAACCTGCTGTTGCCAAGACAACCCACCATAACAGAGAGAGTCCGCCATTACAGAGGCAGGCCACCATTGCTGAGGCAGTTCTAACCACACCCATATAAACAGGACTGCAGGGAAGTTCACACAGCAGCAGGGTGGAGCCCACAGCAGCTCAGCAAAGCCTCTGCAGGCAGACAGTGACTAGGCTGCCTCCTTGCTGGGCAGGGCAGCCCTGAAAAAAAAAAGCAGCAGAAGAGATACTCATAAATTAAGCCCTAACTCCCTGGGACAGAGCACCTGGTGATAAAAAGGGGATTTATGAGTTCTGCTGCAGCAGACTTAAACGTACCTGCCTAGCAGCTCTGAATGAACAATGGAGCTTAAACGTACCTGCCTAGCAGCTCTGAATGAACAGCTCAGCACTCGAGCTCCTATAAAAAACAGACTGTCTCCTCAAGCAGCTTCCTGACCCCCATATATCCAAAGAATCACCTTACAAAGGACTGATCAGACCGACATTTGGTGGGCATCATTATCGGACAAAGATAGCAGAAGAAGAAACTGGTAACAACCCTTACTGTTCTGCAGCTGCTGCAGGTGATCCCCAGGCAAGCAGGGCCTACAGTGGACCTTAGCACTCCTACTGCAGAGGAACCAGACTATAATAAGGAAAACTAAGAAACAGAAATAACTTGATCATCAACAAACTGGACATCCATTCAGAGACCCAATCTGAAAATCAGCAACTACACAGACGACAGGTGGATAGATCCACAAAGATAAGAAGAAACCAGTGCAAAAAGGAGGAAAATACCCAAAACCAGAACACCTCTCCTCCTACAAGGGATCACAACTACTTATCAGCAAGGGAACAAAGCTGGATGGAGAATGAGTGTGATGAATTGACAGAATCAGACTTCAGAAGGTGGGTAATGAGAAACTTCCGTGAACTAAAAGAACATGTTCTAACTCAATGCAAAGAAACTAAGAACCTTGAAAAAAGATTTGACCAAATAATAAGAAGAATGGACAACTTAGGAATATGAGTAAATTGATGGAGCTGGAAAACACTATACGAGAACTTCACAAAGCATGCACAAGTTTCAACAGCCAAACTGACCAAGCAGAAGAAAGGATATCAGAGGTCGAAGATCAACTCTATGAAATAAAATGAGAAGGAAAGATTAGAGAAAAAAGTAAAAAGGAATGAACAAAGTCTCCAAGAAATGTGGGACTATGCGAAGAGACCTAATCTGCATTTGATGGGTGTACCTGAATGTGATGAAGAGAATGAATCCAAGCTGGAAAATACTCTTCAGGATATTATCCAGGAAAACTTCCCCAACCTAGCAAGGCAGGCCAATATTCAAATGCAGGAAATACAGAGAACACCACAAAGATATTCCTCAAGAAGAGCAACCCCAAGGCACATAATCATCAGATTCACCAGGGTTGAAATGAAGGAGAAAATGCTAAGGGCAGCCAGAGAGAAAGGTCGGGTTACCCACAAAGGGAAGCCCATCAGACTCACAGAAGATCTCTCGGCAGAAACCCTACAAGTCAGAAGAGAGTAGGGGCCAATATTCAACATCCTTAAAGAAAAGAACTTTGAACCCAGAATTTCATATCCAGTCAAACTAAGCTTCATAAGTGAAGGATAAATAAAATCCTTTGCCAACAAGCAAGTACTCAGAGATTTTGTCACTACCAGGCCTGCTTTACAAGAGCTCCTGAAAGAGGCACTACATATAGAAAGGAACAACCAGTATCAGCCACTCCAAAAACATACCAAATGGTAAAGAGCGTCAACAAAATGAAGAATCTGTATCAATTAACGGGCAAAACAGCCAGCTAGCATCAAAATGGAAGTATCAAATTCACACATAACAATATTAACCCTAAATGTAAATGGGCTAAATGCACCAATCAAAAGACACAGACTGGCAAATTGGATAAAAAACCAAAACCACTCGGTGTGCTGTATCCAGGAAACCCATCTCACATGCAAGAATACACAAAGGCTCAAAATAAAAGGATGGAGGAAGATTTACCAAGAAAATGGAAAACAAAAAAATCAGGAGTTGCAATTCTCGTCTCTGATAAAATAGATTTTAAAGTAACAAAGATCAAAAGAGACAAAGAAGGACATTACATAATGGTAAAAGGATCGATACAACAAGAAGAGCTAATGATCCTAAATATATACAGACCCAATACATGAGCATCCAGATACATAAGGCAAGTTCTTAATGACTTACAAAGAGACTTAGACTCCCACACAATAAAAGTGGGAGACTTTAACACTCCACTGTCAATATTAGACAGATCAACCAGACAGAAAATTAACAACGATATCCAGGACTTGAACTCAGACCTGGAACAAGCAAACCTGATAGACATTTACAGAACTCTCCACCCCAAATCCACAGAATATACATTCTTCTCAGCTCCACATAACTCCTACTGTAAAATTGACCACATAATTGGAAGTAAACACTCCTCAGCAAATGCAAAAGAAAAGAAATTATAACAAACAGTCTCTCAGACCACAGTGCAATCAAGTTAGAACTCAGAATTCAGAAACTAAGTCACAACCGCACAGCTTCATAGAAACTGAACAACTGGCTCTTGAATGTTGACTGGATAAACAATGAAATGAAGGCAGAAATAAAGAAGTTTTTCAAAACCAATAAGAATGAAGACACAACATACCAGAATCTCTGGCACACATTTAAAGCAGTCTCTAGAGGAAAATATATAGCAATAAGTGCCCACATGAGAAGAAAGGAGAGATCCAAAATTGATACCCTATTGTCAAAATTGAAAGAGCTAGAGGAGCAAGATCCAAAAACTCAAAACCTAGCAGAAGACAAGAAATAACTAAGATCAGAGCAGAACTGAAGGAGATAGAGACACGAAAAACCCTTCAAAAAATCAATAAATCCAGGAGCTGGTTTTTCAAAAAGATCAACAAAATAGACTACTAGCCAGATTAATAAAAAAAAAAGAGAGAACAACCAAATAGATGCAATAAAAAATGATAAAGGGGAAATCACCACAGATTCCACAGAAATTCAAACCATCATCAGAGAATATTACAAACAACTCTATGCACATAAACTAGTAAACCTGGAAGAAATGGATAAATTCCTGGACACTTGTGTCCTCCAAAGCCTAAACAAGAAAGAAGTCAAAACCATGAATAGACCAATAACAAGATCTGAAGTTGAGGCAGCAATTAAGAGCCTACCACCCAAAAAACGCCCAGGTCCAGATGGGTTCACAGCCGAATTCTACCAGACACACAAAGTGGAACTGTTACCATTCCTTCTGAAACTATTACAAATAACCCAAAAAGAGGGAATCCTTCACAAATCATTTTATGAGATTGACATCATCCTGATACCAAAACCCAGCAGAGACTCAACAAGAAAAGAAAACTTCAGGCCAATATTCATGACGAACATAGACGCAAAAATCTTCAATAAAATACTGGCAAGCCGATTGCAACAGCACACCAAAAAGCTTATCCACCATGATCAAGTAGGATTCATCCTGGGGATGCAAGACTGGTTCAACATACGCAAGTCTATAAATGTAATTCACCACATAAACAGAACCAAAAACAAAAACCACATGATTATCTCAATTGATGCAGAGAAGGTCTTTGACTAAATTCAACAGCCCTTTATGCTAAAAACCCTCAATAAACTCGGTATTGATGGAACGTATCTCAAAATAATAAAAGCTATTTATGACAAACCAACAGCCAATATCATACTGAATGGGCAAACCTGGAAGCATTCCTTTTGAAATCGGGCACTAGACAAGGATGCCCTCTCTCACCACTCCTATTCAATATGGTACTGGAACTTCTAGCCAGAGCAATCAGGCAAGAAAAAAATAAAGGGTATTCAAATAGGAAAGGAGGAAGCCAAATTTCCTGTATTTGCAGACGACATGATAGTATATCTAGAAGACCCCATTGTCTCAGGCAAAAACTCCTGAAACTGATAAGCAACTTCAGCAAAGTCTCAGGATACAAAATCAATGTGCAAAAATCACAAGCATTGCTATACACCAATAACAGACTTAAAAGAGAACCAAATCAAGAATGACTGCCATTCACAATTGCTACAAAGAGAATAAAATACCTAGAAATTCAACTAACAAGGAACGTAAAGGACCTCTTCAAGGAGAACTACAAACCACTGCTCAACGAAATAAGAGAGGACACAAACAGATGGAGAAATATTCCATGTTCATGGTTAGGAAGAATCAATATCCTGAAAATGGCCATACTGCCCAAAGTAATTTACAGATTCAATGCTATCCCCATCAAGCTACCAATGACCTTCTTCACAGAACTGGAAAAAACTACCTTAAACTTCATATGGAACCAAAAGAGAGCCTGCATAGCCAAGTCAATTCTAAGCAAAAAGAACATAGTGGGAGGCATCACACTACCAGACTTCAAACTATACTACAAGGCTACAGTAATCAAAACAGCATGGTACTGGTACCAAAACAGAGATATAGACCAATGGAACAGAACAAAGGCATCGGAGGCAACACAACATATCTACAACCATCTGACCTTTAACAAACCTGACAAAAACAAGCAATGGAGAAAGGATTCCCTGTTTAATAAATGGTGTTGGGAAAACTGGCTAGCTATGTGCAGAAAGCAGATACTGAACCCCTTCCTGACACCTTACACTAAAATAACTCCAGATGGATTAAAGACTTAAACATAAGACCTAACACCATAAAAACCCTAGAAGAAAATCTAGGCAAAACCATTCAGGACACAGGAGTAGGCAAGGACTTCATGACCAAAACACCAAAAGCATTGGCAACAAAAGCCAAAAGAGACAAATGACACCTAATCAATCTCCACAGCTTCTGCATGGCAAAAGAAACACTCATTCAAGTGAATCGGCCACCAACAGAATGGGAAAAAAATTTTGCAGTTTACGCATCTGGCAAAGGGCTGATATCCAGAATTTACAAAGGACTAAAACAGATTTACAAGAACAAAGCAAACAAGCCCATTCAAAAGTGGGCAAAGTATATAAACAGATACTTTACAAAGAAGACATACATGAGGTCAACAAACAAATGAAAAAATGCTCATCATCACTGGTCATCAGAGAAATGCAATCAAAACTACATTGAGATAACATCTCACGCCAGTTAGAATGGCGATCATTAAAATATCTGGAGACAACAGATGCTGGAGAGGATGTGGAGAAATAGGAACAGTTTTACACTGCTGGTGGGATTGTAAATTAGTTCAACCATTGTGGAAGACAGTGTGGCAATTCCTCCAGGACCTAGAAATAGAAATTCCATTTGACCCAGCAATCCCATTACTGGGTATATATCCAACAGACTATAAATCATTCTACTCTAAGGACACATACACATGAATGTTCATTGCAGCACTGTTTATGATAGCAAAGACCTGCAATCAACCCAAATGCCCATCGATGATAGACTGGACAGGGAAAATGTGGCACATATACACCATGGAATATTATGCAGCAATCAGAAATGATGAGTTTGTGTCCTTTGTAGGGACATGGATGAACCTGGAGAACATCATTCTCAGCAAACTGACACAAGAACAGAAAATGAAATACTGCATGTTCTCACTCATAGGCACGTGTTTAACAATGAGAACACATGGACACAGGGAGGGGAGCACTACACACTGGGGTCTGTTGGGGCGAATAGGGGAGGAACTGCAGGGGGTGGGGAGTTGGGGAGAGATAGCATGGGGAGAAATGCCAGATATAGGTGAAGGGGAGGAAGGCAGCAAATCACACTGCCAGGTGTGTACCTATGCAACTACCTTGCATGTTCTTCACATGTACCCCAAAACCTAAAATGCCATAAAAAAAGAAAGTTCTTTAGATTTAATAATTTTTAAAAATGAGAACTTCTTAACAGTTTTATTATATAAGGTTTTTAAAGTTTCCACTGTTATTGAATGTCAGTTAATTATTAATTCAATCTTCCATATCTTCTGAAAATGTGGCACTGAAAAAAATTTCAATCATCTAGAATTACACGCCCACCAACCCAAGAATCATTAAATGAATTAATTTTTAATTAAATTCAAGCATCAACCAAAAGGAAATGTTCATTGAAATATGTTTTTAAACGACATTGAATGATCCCAAGCCTGTATTTCTTGGTTAAAGTTTTTAGCTTTCAAATTCAAATGGAAAACAAACTAAACAAATAATCTATGCCTTTCACTAGTTATAATCCTAGTTCACATAACAGGAAATTATTGTCATGCTACATGATCAAGTCAACTAACGTGTCTAGAAACATAGGAGTTATTTAGTTAGTCCAATTTAGACCTTTTTGTTAAGTTCCAGAAAGTATAGAATTGACTTAATTGGCACCCCGATAAATGGTTCTCTAATCTAATTGGTATGATTACCAAAAGACAGGCACAGCATAATGTATTTAAATGATTTGAATCAATTGGTTCATGGAATATCTTTTTCATTTAAAGAGTTATTAGCTTATTCAATGTAGTGTACTACATATCAATATCCAGCTCCAAATATATTCTAGCATGCTTTATATACAAATCTATGGTTAAGAAATAAATTATAAGTGCTTTCTATGGTTTTCATCCACTTGGAACATAATTGAAAACTTAGCAAAGGGAGACTCTTTTCAACTAAAATTTATCAGAGCTGCACTGAATATACATTTTTGTTTATCAAGAACTGTGTGATGATTCTTATTATTCCTATCACCTATCAAAATATTTGAAGGCTTCATTTTCATCTTTCTTATTACAATCCATCTATTGTCTTCTCTGATGTAAAGTATCACAAAGAAAAAGTTAAGAATTATTACAAAGGTAGTATCTTTTCTTCCCTTCAGCAAGATGAATGTTTTACTCATGAAAGTTATGAGGTGGAAAATAGCTATTCCATTTTGTTTTTCACTTTTGATATGATATAAATTTCAATGGAGACCTTAGAGATTCATAAGAAAAAATATGAAGAACAAAATCCTCAAAAATACTTTTTTTTTTGGTCAGAAGGGCATCGTTATTTTTAAGTTTCTCACAAACTTGTTTCTTCTATCTCCAGCACTTTGATCTCCTGATAATTTGAGAGTAATTGAGAATACCTTCTAACATACATGTCAACATAATGAAGGAACTGGGGACCTAAGTGTAGAAGCTATAGCGCTTACAGTAGCTTCAAATACTGGTTCCTGAATGGATTTACTTGAATGCAATTCAGTCTTTTTTGTGGCTCAAGCCTCATTCACTTCTAAAAGGTACTTTGTTTGTCAGAATCAATTTAAATCAATTTCTGTGGAAATTAAAATTAAATACAGTATCCCTAAGATTCTTGCATTTATTTCCATTTTTAAATCATTGACTTATACATGATTTTTATGCCTCTATCATTATATGAGCATTTATATGATTAGTGTTGATAACCAATATGCAATTTCATTTCTTTGTCTCAGGTAGCTTTCATTACATTTACTTTTCATATCAGAATCTGGCATTCCAGTCTTCTTGAAGCTTAATTCTTTCATTGAAATTTAGTTATAGATATTCCATGACATTCTCTCCCTGAAAGTTGTATTATAAGCTTATTGTTGTTTGTTTCAAGTTAGCTAGAGAAGGATATTGTTCCCCAGTTTGTGTTTAGAGGATAAAGCTTGTCAATTTTTTTTTTTTTAAGAAATTCAGGGAGGTCATTTTGGTTGTGATTATCAAAAGTTCTGAATTTTTTTAAGGTTTTTAAAAAAGTTTTTCTAAATGTTTTTCTCTTAGGAGATGTAGAAATCTTATCTGTGTTTCATGGCATTGCAATTACAGCTGTGTCATGAAATACTAATTATTCTGGGTTTTTATTTTTACTAAATGAGTCTGAGAGAGAGAGAGAGAGAGTGTGTGTGTGTGTGTCTGTGTCTGTGAGTGTGTGTGTGTGATGAACAATGCTAGATTATTGAGGAAAATCAAGATAATTTGAATGCCATCATACTATCCATAGGAAATGCATATTTGTTTATATAAAATTGTCACAATCTTAGAGAAAATCTTTTGTGATCATGCAAGACCAGAAAGTGATCAAAATACATGGTTTTGTAAAAATAAATGTTTATTTGGAAAGAAACTGGCAGTTTTCTTCGCTGTATTTGCTACTGAACTTCTTCAACCTTAAAAGTTTTACAAAATTGTTGATACACAGGAAGAAAGGGGAAAAGAGAACACAGAAGAATTTATTTTAACTAATGAAAAATATTAGAATTTGGTGAATATAATGTACAATATAACTATAAATTCAAAACTGCATTTGTCTGTGATATTGTTCATAGGATCTTTTAGAAATCAGGATTTTAAAAAGTTAATATTTTTAAAATTAACATTGACCCTTAATATAAAACATACATTACCCTGTTATGCTGCTGCTTGTCAATGGTGTAAATTAATGATGAAAATGATAATAATGATCACAATCATGGTAACAAAAGATAACATTTGTTGGGTTCTTACTATTTAACATATTACCTACAGTTTCTCATTGAGTTTTGTGGAGATAGTATGTTCAATGACTTTAAGTAGTAAGAAAAACATAACATCACATATCTAATACAATTTCTTACATTTAAAATTAAGTATGATGACTAAAGTAATTATAAAATTCTATTCTTACATGCACATTATTCGCAGAAACAGTATTTCTTAAAATGTCATGGATTTATGTCTTTTTAAACCCATCATTAATGTAAATGTATTCACTAGACCCTTAGGGTTTCAGCAAAGAATGTGAACTCCTTTCATTTGTTTATTTCTTGGTCATATTTCATATTGAAATTGAAAAGAGGAGGTAATAAAAAATAACACTCTTGTCCAGTCAGTGCTAATAAGCAAGTTAATGATAGACATTCCCTCTTATCAGCTATTAGAATTGTATTTTCAATGGATATTTTTAACTGAATTAAATATAAAAGATATAAATTAAAGTATTCACCTTAATTATACAAAAATAGATGATAAAACTAAACATATGACTATCTCTATAATTCACACAGAAATTAAGATTTTCAAATCACCAACAGTTTAGATCAAAACAAAAGGTATAAATACAAGGCTTGGAACTGTATCAACTGCCTCCTAAATTTCAGTAATAGAATCCTACATGAAATTTCAATTAACACAACATTAGTTGAATATACATTAAACAGAATAGTACTTAAATATATTTGTACTAATTGGTTTTTGGACAAAGTTTTAAACTTTACGAAGCCCTAATATATAAATTGTTTTTATATTTTGTAATACTTACAAATATCTAATGAGATATCTTGGCAATGAGACCTAAATCTAGACACAAAATTTATTTATAATTTATTATATTTTAAGATTATGGCCCATTGCATAAAGTCAGATAGGATATTTTCCAACTGCATGTTGGTGTTCTGTTCTAGATTCTGGATTGGGGGCATTTCTAATCCAAAAATCTGAAATCCAAAGTGCTACAAAATTTGACACTATATACACCAATACACCCACATATATATAGTTTCCTGGCATGTGTGCATGTGTATGTGTGTATTGCCTTTACAGACTATGTCTTTGTGTTGGACTTGGACGTGTCAGTGTAATATGCCTGCTATATCCCAATTCCATTTAACGTAACTTGCTTTCTTCAAACTCTTAAAAGAGACATTTGACATACTAGCTGACCTCACATGAATGGTTATAGATACAGGCAAAACTGGTTTTATTATACTTGTTTTTATTGCACTTTGCAGATATCACGGTTTTTTTTAACAAATTGAAGGTTTGTGGCAATCCTGCATCCAGCAAATTATTGGCATCGTTTTCCAACAGCATGTGCTCACTTCTTGTGTTTGTGTCACATTTTGGAAATTATCACAATATTTCAAACTTTTAAATTATTATGATACCTGTTATGGTCATCTGTGATCACTGATCTTTGATGTTACTATTGTAATTACTTTGGAGTGCCTACCATGAACCACATTTGTGTAAGACAGTGGATTTAATACATGGTGTGTGCATTCCAACTGCTGTCTCATCTCTCTCCTTCTCCTTGGGCTTCTCTATTTCCTGAGAAAAAACTGAAATTAGGCCAATTAATAACCATGTAACAGCCTGTAAGTCACAGGTGTCCAGTCTTTTGGCTTCCTTAGCCACATTGTAAGAAGAATTGTCCTGGGCCACACACAAAATATACTATTACTAATGATAGCTAATGAGCTAAAAAAAATCACCAAAAAAACTCATGTTTTAAGAAGGTTTATGAATTTGTGTTTAGCCACATTCAAAGCTATCCTGGGCTGCAGGCTGAGGGTTGAACAAGCTTGTTTCAAGTGCTCAAATGTAAGGAAAAGTTGCATCTCTCTCTCATTTTAAATAAAAATCTAGAAATGACTAGGCTTAGCAAGGAAGGGATACTGAAAGCTGAGACAGGCAGAATGCTAGTCCTTCTGCATCAAGCAGTTAGCCAAGTTGTGAATGCAAAGGAAAAGTTCTTGAAGGAAATTAAAAGTGCTACTCCAGTGAACACACCAATGATAATAAAGTGAAACAACTGTATTACTGATATAGAAAACATTTTAGTGGTCTGAATAAAAGATCAAACCAGCCATAATAGTCTCTTAAGCCAAACTCAAATCCAGAGAAAGACCCTAACCTGTCTTTAATTCTAAGAAGGCTGATGGAAGTGAGGAAGCTGCAGAAGAAAAGCTGGAAGCTAGCAGAGGTTGGCTCATGAGGTTTAAGAAGCTGTCTCCATAACATAAAAGTCTAAGATGAAACAGCAAGTGCTGATGCAGAACCTGCAGCAAGTGATCCAGAAGACCTAGCTAAGATCATCGATCAAAGTGCCTATGCCGAACAACAGATTTTCAATGCAGACAAAACAGCCTTCTGTTGGAAGAAGATACCATCTAACACTTTCATAGCTAGAGAGCAGAAGGCAACGTCAGGCTTTTAAAGCCTCAAGGGTAATCTGAGTCTCTTGTTTGGGGCTAATGCACCTGGCAACCTGACGTTGAATCCAATGTTCATTTATCATTTCGAAACTCTTAGGGCCCTTAAGAATTATACTAAATCTACTGTGCTGTAAAAAATGAAATAACAAAGCCTGGATTGCAACACTTCTATTTACAGCATGGTGTACTAAATATTTTATGCCCTATATTGAGACCTACTCTTCAGACAAAAATATCCTTTTAAAAATTTTACTGCTTTTTGTCAATAAACCTAATCACCCAAGAGCTCTGACTGACATGCACAAAGAAATTAATGTTGTTTTCATGCCCACTAACAAAACATCCATTTTACAGCACATGGATCAAGGAGTAATGTTTACTCTGTACTCTTACTATTTAAGAAATACCGTTTTTAAGGCTATAGGGCTATTGCTGCTATTTGCCAATATCTGATGGATATTGGCAAAGTAAATTGAACATCTTCTGGAAATAATTTACCATTCTAGATGTCATTAGTGATTTGTGGGAAGAAGTCAAAATATCAACATTTGTAGAAGTTTGGAAGAAGTTTATTCCAGCTCTCATCAATAATTTGAGGAGTTCAAGACTTCAGTGGAAGTCTTTGCAGATTTGATAGAAATAGCAAATGAATTAGAATTAGATGTGAAGAATTAGAATTTAAATTAGAATTATATGTAAAACCTGAAGATGTGCCTGAATCACTACGGTCAGCTGATAAAACTTGAACAGATGAAGAATTGCTTCTTATATATGAACAAAGAAAGTGATTTCCTCAATATGGAATCTATTCATAGTGAAGATGATGTGAACATTTCTTGAAATTAAAACAAATTATTTAAAATATTTCAAAACCTTAATAGATAAAGCAGTGGCAGGGTTTGAGAAGACTGACTGCAGTTTTGAAAGATCTACCATGGGTAAGATGTTATAAAAGGAAATTGCATGCTACAGAGAAATCTTTCATGAAAGAGTCAATAGATGTGATAAACTTCGTTTGTGGTCTTATTTCAATAACCTGTCATAGCTATCCCAATCTTCAGCAACCACAACTCTACAAGGAAGAAAATTACAAATCATTGAAGGCTTAGGTGACTGCCAGCACTTTTTAACAATGAAGCATTTTAAATTATGGTTTGTACATTGTCTTTTAGACATAATGCTAGTGCACACTTAATGGATTATAATAGAGTAAAAATATGACTTTTATATGGACTGGGAAACCAAAAAATTGTGTGACTTACCTTTTTGCAATATTTGTATTATTTGGGGGTTTGGAACTAAGCCTGCAGTATCTCAGATGAATGCCTGTAATTAGATTGGAGTATATATTTGATTCTAGGAGATCCGGTCAGTAATCAATCAGTTTTTCTTTATCATAAATAAGAGCCAGAGAAACGGTAGTAGTCTGAAAGCAACGGGTTCTAGGTTGAACAACTTATGCAAAACTTTTGACAAGAGCTGGCAACACAGAAAATTATTACTGCCTCGTAAATGATGAGTGAACAGAAAGAGTAGGCAGGGAAAACTCAGTTGTATACTAAAGAAGTGCAACAGACTCAAAAACCTGCAGGATTAGAAAGATGTGAAGCTAAAGTACTTGTTTTAAGATGTGCTGGATCCTATGAGTCCACATTTCATTTTCAAATCTTTTTAAAAAAATTCACCCAGCCTGTTTTTCTTGGAATATTTTGAATGGGCATTCCTTCTTTACAACCAAAATGATTTTCTTGGTTTTTCTTTCATTAGATAAATGGACGTGTCTTGAAAAAAAAAATAGTATATCAGGCCCAGTTTACATTTATGAAATTATATTCCATTATTTTGCACTAGAATAAAGAATATGTTACTGTAAAGTAGGTGGTAAAGTTTATCTTGGAAAAGAGAGCAAATACAATGATGGTCTTCAAATGTGGATGGAGAGGCATCCAAGGCATGCCGACATGGCCTACAGCATGACACAGCTGGGGAAGAGTCAGAGGTGGGGGTAAGAAGCAATGTGAAATATTGTAAGGGAGGTGACTCAAACCACATGGAGTGTGTGTACATGTGTATAAACACGGATAGAACATGTTTCTAACAAAATGATTCATCTTCTGAAGTCAGGGACTATTTTATTCTCTTGTACTTCTCAATAGCAATAAGCCCATATAAGGAGCCAAATGAACAAGTGAATCTGAATTTGGCCTTCCTCTTTGACCTTGGGCAAATCATTAAATCTTGATTACAATACAAATGTCTTTTATAGCCACAATGAACTACAGCTGTGTTGTGACTGGAGCTAATGAATGAATGAATGTATTTTTTTGAACCTGTTAGTACCAGCATATTAGTAATGTTAGCAAACAATCCTAAGCCCTCAAAATCTAGGGTTTTCTCACTCCCATATCCCCACAAAAAGATGAATTTCTTATTCACCTTACATGTTAGCTGCAAAGAACTGCTGGTCTGCTTCATGTGTTTTCTCCATAATGCAATCTAGGCTAAAGGTGATGCTCCTGTCTCCCACACTGCTGATCTGGTGGCAGAGGGAAAGGAGCAATTGACTATGTGAATAGGCTTTAAATTGCTCCTCAGCAATGTCTTAAGTTATTTATACTAACATGTCATTGACGAAAGTCAGTCACCTGACTCGATGGGATGAACTTATAAACCATTCACAGAAAGTAATACTGCAAATAACATGACAATGAGAGGTAGGATATGGAAAGACATAGGAAGTTTGTGGATTAGTTACTGTTCCCTGAAAGCAAAACAACTTGAGTTCATTATTTGTCATGGATCTTGAATCTGATGTCTGCCAACATCTTTTTTTTTTTCATACTCTTCTTTGGCCATGTCTTGAAGGGGCTTTTAAAGTATATGCTTTTCTTGATGGCTCAGAGCTTCATAGTCTATTTTCGGCCTGAAAGTTTGATCTCATATGGGGTTACAAGATGAAATATAGTATTCACTGTTAAATTTGAATTTTGATAAACTACAAATAATATTTTGGTATAAGTATGTCCCAAATATTGCATGAGATATAATTAAACTAAAAATATTGTTATTTATCTGAAATTCAAAGTTAACTAGGCATTCTGTATTTTTATTTCTTATTCTGGCCACCTCAGGACTCAAAAAGAATTTCAAGTCTCAAATAATTATAGTCTGTTTAAGTTAGAGTGCTGGCATAACTCTCTCAAAAACATAGTAAGATTTTTACTTACTTGATGCCAGTTTCCAGTGCCAATGTACACACTTTTTCCCCTGAAATAGGCTTTTCTCTCTAGTTTTAGTTGACAATATTTTAAACTTAGCAAGATTCTATGGGAAGGTCTTACTCTGAGTTTCCTTTCCGTGAGATATTTTGATCAGCTGCAAAGATTGAATGGGTGCCACATTAATTATTTGAGTTTTAATAACAGGCTTTAGCTCTCTTAACCCCCAATTTGGTCTCTGTCATGAGGCTGAGTGTTAACTGGCCTTTGTCACTACAATTTCCCAATGTTACATTTTACTAACAAAAATGTAAAGGAACATATCTCTTGTCTTTGTTAGTAAACTGGCCAATTATTTTTCTCATCTTGTTCTTCAAGTACTTTATCAAATGCTGCCAATATTACATGAGTAGCTTTCTCTTTTCCATCTTCTCCACTTACAGCTCAAGCTGATGCAACACATTACATGTCTTCTAATTATAGGCAACAATTATATTATGAATTCCACTTACACACATGCATAATGAGTTGTCATGCATCCCATCAACAATAAATACGCTTTTGGACAATTACCCTGTTCAAAAGCCAATGGCACATATACTGGTGTTTTATTTCAGCAGTACACCACCTACAAGTTCTATTTTATTAATTAGTTAATTTTGCTAGGTTACACTGTACTCTGACAAAATCTTAGTGGTTTACTACAACTAAGGGTTGTCACATTCTAGATCTTAGAGGAAAGGCTTTCAATTTTCCCTGTTCAGTATGATGCTGTGGGTTTGCTGTCTATGGCCTTTGTTATTTTAAGGTATGTTCTTCCATACCCAGTTTGTTGAAGGATTTTAATATAAAGAGAGGTTGAATTTTTTTGAATGCTTTTTCAGCATGTATTGAAATGATCATATGGATTTTGTTCTTGGTTCAGTTAGTGTGATGAACGATTTTATTCATTTGTTTATGTTGAACTCATTGCACCCCTGGGATAAATCCCATTCAATCATGGTGAAAACATGTTGTTGCATTCAGTTTATTAGTATTTTGTGGAAGATTTTAGCATTTATATTATTCAGTGATACTGGCCTATAGTTTTGTTCTTGTTGTGTCCTTGCCTAGTTTGGATAACTGAGTAATGTTGGCTTCATATAATGAGTTTGAAAGTATTTCCTCCTGATCAATTTTTATTTTGAAGAGTTTGAATAAATTGTTATTAGTTTTCTTTAAATGCTTGGGAGAATTCAGTCATGAAACCATCAGGCCTTAAGCGTTTCTTTGGTGGGAGACTTGTTTTATGGCTTCAATCCTTTACTTGCTATTGGTTTGTTCAGGTTTTCTAGTTATTCATGGTTCAATTGTGGTAGTTGCATGTGTCAGGAAAATAACCATTTCTTAAACATTTTCCAGTTTGTTGGCTTTATTTGTTGTTCATAATAGTCTCTAGTGATTCTTGTGCTTTCAGTTGTTATGTCTCCTCTTTTATTTCCGATTTTATTGGCTGTTTTTGCATTTTTTTCTTAGTCTAGCTAGAGATTTGTTGATTTTTTTAAATCTTTTCAAAGAAACAACTACTAGGTGTTAGTGAAGCAATTTACCTGTATGGAGAAATATGTTTATGTTAAAGAATAACTAGAACTATTATATGTGAAGAGAAATAATAAAAATTCTTTAAACATTTCTTGTAAATTTAGACTTTTTTCTACAGAATAAGTCGAGGCAAGTAGTGTCTGTGAAACCAGGCTTATATATATGTATATATATATATACACACACACACACACACACATACACACGCACACATACATATAATTGCATTTTAGGTTCTGGGGTACATGTAAAGAAGATGCAGGATTGTTGCATAGGTACATACATGGCAATGTGGTTTGCTGCCTCCATCCCCATCACCTACATCTGGCATTTCTCCCCATGTTATCCCTCCCAACTCCCTACTCCCCACTGTCCCTCCCCTAGTCCCCCCGCCACCAGACCTCAGTGTGTGATGCTCCCCTCTCTGTTTCCATGTGTTGTCATAGTTTGACACCTGCCTATGAGTAAGAACATGTGGTGCTTGATTCTCTGTCCCTGTGTCAGTTTGCTGAGAATGATGGTTTCCAGGTTCATCCATGTCCCTACAAAGGACACAAACTCATTGTTTTTTATGGCTGCATAGTATTCCATGGTGCATATGTGCCACATTTTCCCTGTCCAGTCTAACATCAATGGGCATTTGAGTTGGTTCCAAGTCTTTGCTACTGTAAACAGTGCTACAGTGAACATACATGTGCATGTGTCCTTTTAATAGAATGATTTATAATCCTTTGGATATATACCCAGTAATGAGATTGCTGGGTCAAATGGAATTTCTATTTCTAGGTCCTTGAGGAATCACCACACTGTCTTCCACAATGGTTGAACTAATTTACAATCCCACCAAGAGTGTAAAAGTGTTTCTATTTCTCCACATCCTCTCCAGCATCTGTTGTCTCCAGATTGTTTAATGATCGCCATTTTAAGTGGCATGACATGGTATATCAATATAGTTTTGATTTGCATTTCTGTAATGACCAGTGATGATGAGCATTTTTTCATGCGTTTGTTGGCTTCATATATGTCTTCTTTTGAAAAGTGTCTGTTCATATCCTTTGCCCACATTTGAATGGGTTTGTTTGGTTTTCTTCTTGTAAATATGTTTTAGTTCCTTGTAGATTTTGAATATAATTCCTTTGTCAGATGGGTAGATTGCAAACATTTTTTCCCATTCTGTTGGTTGCCCGTTCACTCTAATGATTGTTTCTTTTGCTATGCAGAAGGTCTGGAGTATAATTAGATCCCATTTGTCTATTTTGGCTTTTGTTGCCAATGCTTTTGGTGTTTTAGTCATGAAATCTTTGCCTATGCCTATGCCCTGAATGGTTTTGCTTAGGTTTTCTTCTAAGGTTTGTATGGTGTTAGGTCTTATGTTTAAGTCTTTAATCCATCTGGAGTTAATCTTGGTGTAAGGTGTCAGGAAGGAATCTAGTTTCTGCTTTCTACACATGGCTAGCCAGTTTTCCTAACACCATTTATTAAACAGGAAATCCTTTCCCCATTGCTTTTGTCAGCTTTGTCAAAGATCAGATGGCTATAGATGTGTGGTGTTGCCTCCAAGGTCTATGTTCTGTTCCATTGGTCTATATCTCTGTTTTGGTACCAGTACCATGCTGTTTTGATTACTGTAGCCTTGTAGTATAGTTTGAAGTCAGGTAGCATTGATGTCTCCAGTTTTGTTCTTTTTGCTTAGAATTGACTTGGCTATGAGGGCTCTCTTTTGGTTCCATATGAAGTTTAAGGTGGTATTTTCCAGTTATGTGAAGAAGGTCATTGGTAGCTTGATGGGGACAGTGTTGAATCTGTAAATTACTTTGAGCAGTATGACCATTTTCATGATATTGGTTCTTCCTAACCATGAGTATGCAATGTTTCTCCATCTGTTTGTGTCCTCTCTTACTTTGTTGAGCAGTGGTTTGTAGTTGTACCTGAAGAGGTCCTTTACATCCTTTGTTAGTTGTATTCCCAGGTATTTTATTCTCTTTGTAGCAATTGTGAATGGCAGTTCGTTCTTGATTTGGCTCTCTTTAAGTCTGTTATTGGTGTATAGGAATGCTTGTGATTTTTGCATATTGATTTTGTATCCTGAGACTTTGCTGAAGTTGTTTATCCGTTTAAGGAGATTTTGGGCTGAGATGATAGGGTCTTCTAAATATACAATCATGTCATCTGCAAATAGAGACAATCTGAATTCCTCCTTTCCTAACTGAATACCCTTTATTTCTTTTCCTTGCCTGATTTTTCTGGCTAGAACTTCCTATACTATATCGAATAGGAGTGGTGAGAGAGAGCATCCTTGTCTAGTGCCAAATTTCAAAGGGAATGCTTCCAGTTTTTGCCCATTCAGACTGATATTGGCTGTGGGTTTGTCGTAAATACCTTTTATTATTTTGAGATACGTTCCATCAATACCTAGTTCATTGAGTTTTTAGCATAAAGGGCTACTGAATTTTGTCGAAGGACTTCTCTTCATCTATTGAGATAATCATGTGGTTTTTGTCTTTGGTTCTGTTTATGTTGTAAATTACGTTTACAGACTTGGATATGTTGAACCAGGTTTGCATCACCAGGATAAGCTTTTATTTTTTTCTCTTAGATGAAGTTTCACTCTTGTTACGCAGGCTGGAGTGCAATGGCACGATCCCGGACCACCGCAACCTCCACCTCCTGGGTTCAGGCAATTCTCCTGCCTCAGCCTCCCGAGTAGCTGGGATTACAGGCACACGCCACCATGCCAGCTAATTTTTGTATTTTTAGTAGAGACGGGGTTTCACCTTGTTGACCAGGATGGTCTCGATCTCTTGACCTCGTGATCCATCCACCTCAGCCTCCCAAAGTGCTGGGATTACAGGCTTGAGCCACTGCGCCCGGCCTGGATAAGCTTTTTGATGTGCTATTGCAATCAGTTTGCTGGTATTTTATTGAAGATTTTTGCGTCTATGTTCATCATGGATATTGGCCTGAAGTTTTCTTGTTGAGTATCTGTCCGGTTTTGGTATCAGGATGATGTTGGTCTCATAAAATGATTTGGGAAGGAAGGATTCCCTTTTTTTTTTTTTTGTATTGTTTCGAATAGTTTCAGAAGGAGTGGTACCATCTCCTTTGTATGTCTAATAGAATTCGGCTGTGAACCCATCTGAACCTGGGCTTTTTTTCGTTGGTAAGCTATTAATTGCTGCCTCAACTTCAGCCCTTGTTATTGATCTATTCAGTGTTTCAACTTCTTCCTTGTTTAGGCTTGGGAGGTTCTAAGTGTCCAGGAATTTATCCATTTCTTCCAGGTTACTGGTTTATGTGCATAGAGTTGTTTGTAGTAATCTCTGATGGTGGTTTGCATTTATGCGGAATCTGTGGTGATATTGCCTTTATCATTTTTATTGCATATATTTGATTATTCTCTCCTTTCTTTTTTATTAATCTGGCTACTGGTCTATTTTGTTGATCTTTTCAAAAAACCAGCTCCTGGATTTATTGATTTTTTGAAAGGCTTTTTTATCTCCTTCAGTTCTGCTCTGATCTTAGTTATTTCTTGTCTTCTGCTAGCTTTTGAGTATTTTGGATCTTGCTCCTCAAGCTCTTTCAATTCTGATGATAGGGTGTTGATTTTTAGATCTTTCCTTGCTTCTCATGTGGGCATTATTGCTATAAATTTTCCTCTAGACACTGCTTTTAATGTGTCCAAGAGATTCTGGTATGTTGTGTCTTTGTTCTCATTTGTTTCGAAGAACATGTTTATTTCTGCCTTTGTTTTCATTGTTTATCCAGTCAACATTCAAGAGCCAGTTGTTCAGTTTCCATGGACTTGTGCAGAAACCAGGCTCTTAAGATATTGAAATACTAGTAATGTATTGAGTATTAAAAACTGACACAATCAAGTGGTACTATGCCACTTCAGTGTACCAAAGATGTGTTAACTTTGCAATTGCTACATACTATTAAAAAAAATAAAGAAGACAAGTAGAAGATTATTATATAGTTTACATGTGTCTTAATTCCTACCTAAGATTAGAGAGGTTCATTGAATTTTTCTGGCTAACAAAAATTAAATAAAATCAATTATAAAAGCATTCTACTTATGCTTTTCATTTTACTATCAATGGAATTAGAAAAATGTAAATACCATGACTGAGAAAATACTTGCAAAATAAAGCTAATAGCTGAACAAAAAAATCTGATTCCTTGAAACTTCCTCAAATTATGACTCTGTGCTACCTTATTGTGAGTCATTAATCAATGCACACTTAACTGAGAAAAATCAGTTTTGTGCATTGAAAAAAATATAAATTGACTTCTCAGGAAGAGAACTAAACTAAATTCTAAATTGCATGCCTGAAAACAAAGGTAGGCATGAAATTCTAGGGTTCTGCAATATTAGGTAAATATCGCTTAACATGAATGTGCCACTGTTGTTAAATAAAAGCAGGAAAAGGAACTAGGAGTTTTCAGATATCAATGTCCATTGCTTTTCAGAAACAGCATATACTGACTGTGTTTATTCATGCTATATCCATCGAGATACTCAAGTTACTAGAATCTTATATTTTGGAGTTCCAGTTATCGAAGGACCTTGCCCTGAAAGAAAGGTGAGTGGAAATAACTTCAGATCAAGGTGCAGGAGACCTGAGCTGTAGTTCCTGCTCTGCCACTTACAATGTCTGGGTCTTCTCCTAAGACTTTTAACTTATTTCTGTCTCAGTTTTATTTGACATGAGGAGGTTGGGCTTAAAAAAATCACAAAACAATGATGAAGATTTCATTACTTTCCTATTTTTACATTGGATTAAATAAACTATTATCCAAAGATTTTTGGTCTGTATATTTCACACAGAAATATATATTGAGTAGCAAAATCTTAGAGGAGCATTAAACATCTTCTAAAACATGACACTGTGAAATATCCCAGAGAAACTATAATTATATGAATATCTAAATACTTGATAGTCTAAATTCTCCATTAAATTGATTAAATTTAATGATTAAATTTTAAATATCCTCAAACAGTAGCCACACAACCAAAAGAGCACTTGAATAGTTGTTTCCTATATTCAGCTCTGAAATATGCCAAATATGTGTTTATAAACAATCTTCATTAAGTCTGACAGGCACTATTGATCTGTGTTAAGTCTCTAATTCTGGGCATCCAAGACCTCTGTCCTCTCTTTCTTCATCCCTTATTGTTTTCATGATGAGATGAATTAAAATTCTTATTTGTTATGCATTTGGCGTACCACCACTCTTCCTGCTCTTCTGTGCTTATAAGATTTTACCCTGCTTGCATAAGTGCTCATGAGCCCTCAGTTTTGAACAGCTGTGAGGAAGGCTGGTTAACTATTTGTAAACACCACCCAACGATCCTTGACAGTGATGGTAGTCTTGCTGTCTTATTGGGAGTGATAATGAAGCTGTCTTGCCCAGGGGTCTGGTTATTACACCAATACTAAACATTATCATTTAGTTGTCTGGTGTAAGATAATGAATTAGTCCCATATATTTTATGAGGCTATATCCACATTTTTTTTTAAAACAGAGAAAAAGTGGTACATACACAGCTATGAGCCTTACTGATATCATTCAAATTTAAACCATTACTGAGTTTTCTAATTATCTGCCTTGGTTAGCTTTCAGAACAAATACAGAATTTATATTATGAATTACTTCTTTTATTAAAAAAAACAAGTCTTATCAAGTTATTGGCATGACTGATGATTACTAACTAGTAGATATATGTATATATATATATATGACATTATTTGAAATAGAAAGCAGGATTTCTAGGAAAAAATAAATAAAACAAATGAAAAATAGAGTTAATAATCTTTACAGGAATAATATAATTATATAAATGGCATACTATTCATATGTTTTATGTCACACGGTATTAATATATGATATTATACATAATAATACGTTTTTATAAAGACCCAAATATGTTTCCTATATGGTCAATAAGCTTAGAAATTACAATTGCTTTTATTGTATCAAATTACAAACTAACTCTAAGAAGCCACTCTTAGTAATTAGGGTTGAATAATAAAGACAATTACAATTGAAAAAGGGCCTGGCCTCTACTGAGAGATCAGTAAATAGTTGTTGAATAAATGTATAAAAAGTTATGAAAGTAGGCTCATGCCTATAATCCCAGCACTTTGGGAAGCCAAGGAGGGTGATTCACCTGATGTCAGGAGTTTGAAACCAGCCTGACTAACATGGAGAAACTCCATCTCTACTAAATACACAAAATTAGCTAGGCATTATGGTGCATGTCTGTAATCCCAGCTAATCGGGAGGCTGAGGGAGGAGAATTGCTTGAATCCAGGAAGTGGAGGTTGTGGTGAGCTGAGGTTGTGCCATTGCACTCCAGCCTAGGCAACAAAAGTGAAACTCCATCTCAAAAAAAAAGTTATGAAAGCTTCCACTTTTTTTCTAAGGGCATGTAGCTTGTTAAGTTGCAAAGATGCAAATAAAAGCTGTTTCTCATTGCAATTCAAGGTCTGTGCTGCTCCCATTTTTATGCATGTAGCTCTACATACCTAAATCTTTTTTATGTTACTAATATCATTTTGTAGATTTCTATATAAAGTTTGTGCACACTTTTCATGAAGCATGTACATTACTGAAGTATTTATAAAGTTGTTTCTGATATGAATGAGACTTATTTTTCAATTTTATTCTCCAACTGGTTATAGTAGGAATGGTAGAAATAAAAAATGCCATTCCTATTAAATTCTCTTATTTTTGAGTACTTACTAAGTGCAAGGAACTATGCTAGGAATTGCGGTAAGTGGAAGAAATACAGAGAATCTGTCTTCAAGGGGCTTATAGCCTACATGGGCCAATAACCCTGTCTTGAATGAGGGCAGAATGGAAGAACTGTTAAGACTGTTGACAGTCAAGTTTCCCATGGCGTTCTTTCACCTCTCTACATCTTACAGCAGAGGTACTGACTTCCTTTGTCCCAACTACCTTTTCATGATATTTGTACAGTGAACAGACTTAGAAGATATAGAATCTCTTTCCAGAACGAAAGGCAGGTTTGCTTACAGTATTAGAAGTATAGCCTCTCTCTCGGCTGCAAAAGGTGGGCATGCTTATGGTTCATTATAAAAGTCAGGCTACCTAAGCTCAAGGTTTCTCTCCTGTAATGCAACAGGTATGCAGATGTCACTTTAACCCTCTTGGCATCACCCTGTGGAACAGGGGGTCATAGAATCAGAGATATACCCTAAAACTCTGCTACTGCTGTAGCCATGGTTAGTATTTTTTTTCCATGACCCAGGAATGTACCATCTTCTGCCAGCATCTATAAAACTACTGAAACCTAACTTGTTAGCTTGCAAGTAGAGTAAACTATCAAACTTTTTAAAGTTTTTGAAATGGATCTAAAGTCAAAGTAGGACATAGCCAGGCCAAGGGTAGGGACTTTATAAAGAGCAATGTAAAAAAAGATCATCACATTTATTGGCCTCGTTTGCTCAGCATCACAGAAATGAACATGGAGTTAAGGATATGAATTGGAAAGTCCAAAACTGAACAGGTAATCCTAGCCTAATTTGCTGAGTGCTGTGTTCTAGACACTGTTCTTCACACTTTACATAAATCAACTTATTTAATTTTCTACAGGCTGTCGCACAGGTATATTTTTGATTCTCATTTTACACCTGAAGAAACAAAGGCAAAGAAAAGATAAATTACTTGTCCACAATCACATACTTCACATACTTACTTAGAAGTAGAATCAGAATTCAAACTCAAGATGTGTGACTCTGGAGTCCCCGACTCTTGACATTAGACTTCATATCTCAAGACAGTCTTGAATTGAGGCCATTATCATGAAAGTCTTGTAAAGCACACTTAGGATGATAGACTTCATGCTAGGAAAATGTGTGCTACAATTTGGATGTTTGTCCCTCCAAATTTCATGTTGCAATTTGATCCCCAGTGTTGGAGGTGAAGAGGCAAAGGGGAGGGTTTGCATCATGGGGGCAGATCCCTCATGAATGGATTGGGGAGTTCTCGCTCTATTATTTCCGACAAGAGCTGGTTATGAAAAAGGGCCTGGCACATCCCACTCTCTCTCTCTCTTGCTTCCTCTCTTCACCATATGATTTCTGCACAGGTCTGCTTCCTTTTGCCTTTCACAATCAGTGGAAGCAGTCTGAAGCCTTCACTAGAAGCAGATGCTGGTATGCTTCTTGTTCAACCTGCAGAATAATAAGCCAAATAAATCTCCTTTCTTTATGTATTACCGAAGCTCAGGTACTCCTTTATAGCAACACAAATGGACAAAGAAAATAGGTAATCATCAAGAGGCAGGAAAATGACCTGATAGTGATAAACTTTGTACTCTGGAAAAGCACAAATATCAGAGGCAGTGTAGCAGCTGTTGCAGTAGTCAAGGTTACAGACAATGAACACAAGAAGTTAAAAAGACAATTTGGGAATCTCTTTTATAAGCTTTTTTTAATCACCAAGAACAATGCATGATAACAATAGGTACTCTGCTTATATATTTCAAATGAATGAATTAATCTGGTCACCATCCTAAAACCTCTTTATAATTCTAATAATATGGTGTGCATTTGGCAAAATGTATACAAATGTGTGTAAGCATATGTGCACATGTATGTTTGTAAGAATTACAAGAGATGAGTCATGGCAAAACAGAAAGATATTTCATTCAATTTTCTGTGATGTTGAGCTTTGCAGTTGGATGTAATGCTCTATCCCTTAACTTGAAATCTCATGAAATACTGTTTCATTAGCAATGATGTTGGTCCTTGGATGTAACCACATATCCTGTTGCAACCTGGATGTTGCATCAGGCAATTCCACAGCTTGAACTAGGTAATTTTTATCATACCATGGTTAGTTAACTTGGGCCTTTTTCTTAAACTGGAGCTTGTATTGGCAATCTAGATCTCCCGGTTTTTTGCAGCCATAATATGCAACCATGAAAGAAGCAAAAGTCTGGTTAGAGAAAACCAAAAGTCTGGTCAGATTCTTTAAGAATAATAGGACTCTTAAAGGTTCTGACCAGACTTTTGGTTTTTCTTCTGATGAAATATAACTAATAAAAAAGTTTTCTTAGATTAATACAAGACACCAAGTTTCTGATTTATACCAGATAGAACCTCAGAGAAAAGGATGCTTTGCTTTACACTGATTACTGTGAGAGAACTGAAATAAAAATAATGTATTTAATCAATACAATTTTTTTAATTAATTTTAATTTAGTTATATAATTTCATCTAATCAATATATTCAATTAATATATAATTTAATTAATATTTTTGCTTAATTAAAATGTAATTATTTTAAAATATGTAACATAATTTTGTATCACTAGCCTTTTAGGGAAGGCCATATTTTACACATATGTGAAAAGTTCTACAAAGGAGAAATTTATTATCATTTTCCATAATTATTTATGTGTTTTTGGAAGGGTTAGGACAAGGCACTAGGGTTGACATCATTATCTACTGTGGTAGTAACTTGACTTTCCTTATTTAATTTTATTTAAATTGAAAATATTGGTTGGATGCAGTGCTCACACCTGTGATCCCAACACTTTGGGATGCCAAAGTGGGCAGATAGCTTTGAGCCTAGGAGTTTGTGAACAGTCTGTGCAATATGGCAAAACCCTGTCTCTACAAAAAATATAAAAATTAATCAGACATGGTGGCTCATGCCTGTGGTTCCAGCTACTGAGGAGGCTGAGGCCAGAAGATCCCTTGACCCAGGGAAGCAGAAGTTGCAGTAAGCCAAGATCATGCCACTGCACCCCAGCCTGGGTGACAGAGTGAAACTTCGGTCAAAAAAAAATTTGAATAATCTTCGAATTCTAACTTAAACTCTTATCAGGTGGAATATTTATCTGGAATGAAAATAAAATTAATGGAGAATTACCTCTGTGTTATGCACTAGCCTAGGCAATTTTATTGATTATTTCAGTGCAGCTGAAAAATATTACAAGGCAGGCATTTTTTCCTCAATATTATTTTAAGGTGGAATTTAAAAAGATATGACAAGTAATAAGTCAAAAAACTGAACTTTGGCAGTAAGTTCATTTTGGCAATAAGTTTACTGACCGACTCCACTGAACAAAACTGTTCATTCTGTTTGAGGTTATACATTAATCAATTTTTGAATGGCACTTAAGTATAGTCTTTTATACTTTTGCCTTTAAAATAAGTAAGTTCTATTTTTCTTTATTATGATACTTTTGTCAAACTTAAAAGTAAAAAATAAAATAATTTTAAATATAAGAATACTTTGATTCTATGTAAATAAATAAAACCTAAAGAAAATATGCAATTTTTAGAGTAAGTTAATTATGAATAATGAAGAAAACACGGAAAATTAAACAAATAAAATTACATATGAAAATAATAAATCTGGCAGAGTAACATCCAGATAGTGCAGATAATGAACTCTTTAAGTTAAATGCTTAAACCTTCAAAACGTAAACCAACCAGTTGTACTAATTCTGCTTACATTATTGAAGAGAACTAAGAAACGCAATGCTTGCAAACCTCTTTTATAAAAGCAGTAGAACACTGATACCAATACTTGCCAAAGACAGGTTCACAAAAAATCTTTCAAGATAATTTTGATATCTTATTGCATAATCCAAAACAAAATTATAATTTAATGAACAATTAGAATAATCCTCTAAGCTTTAAAAGTAACATACCCCATAAATAGTTTATAAGTGGAATGCAAAGATGGTTCAATATTAGAAACATAATGTAATTATGTCAATAAGTTAAAATAAAAAATATGTATTTTTCATAATATTGTATTAGTTAAGATACAAGTTAAACTGTAAGACTTTAAAGTAACACCACAGTAGATGCAAGATGAACAAATTAGTTAAAATAGTGTGCACTGAAAAAAGTAAATATTCCATATAAGTTAGTGACTGAAAAATTACAAAGTACTAGAGAATAGAAATAAAAATACCTCTTGAATAACTGTGATCTTTTTTCTAGAAAATATGGATAACACAAGAGGCTTTGTTTTTGCTTTGTTTTATACATAAATAATTTGTTATGACACATTATCTGAGCCATTACAGAAGAATTGGTTTAAAAGAGTTTGAGTCTACAAATTAAAAAAAAAGTCAAATTCTACAAAAAAAATTTTTTTCCCATTTATATCTTCGGAGAACTACACAAAGGAGTACCAGATTTATTTACTAAGTAAATAGAAATAAACCAACAGAAATTCTAGAAAGATTATAGCTGACATTTATATATATTTATCTGACATGCTTTCTCTTAAAAAAAGAGACAGAAAGAGAGAGAAGAAAAGAAGGGAAGGAAATCTCACTTCCAACCCTGATTCATATGAAGAATGATTCCATACTTACACCATCCTATTTTTTCCCCCTTACCCAAAGGTTTAATGAAAGATGGGCTCATGATCCAAGTTATGGGTATTAATGTTTCCTCTTTAGTAAACTTAAAGAGTACAGTGGAATTCCAGTCCCATTTAAAGCTGGATTCTTGAAAGGGAAATGGAAATGTAAAAACTGGAGAGCCTCTCATATTTTTCATCTTGTAGACTAGGATTTAGAGAAAGCTGGTCCGTGAGAGAAAAACACAAAGAGATGAGAAGACAATAGCCATGAAATGACATGAGAGTAAGATAGAAAATAAAGATAAAGTGTTCCACAGTATGGCGAGCCAAAAAATTCTGAGCTAAAATGTAATTTTTCACTTGGTTTGTGAAATATCTCAGAATCCTCATTTTAGTATTACATTGTCGTCTCAGAAATGGGTGTAACATTATTCAAAAATCAAATCATGTAATCACTCTGAATTATAATCTTTTTGACTTTCATTCATTAAATCTTAAGGTTTCCATGATTCTGGAGAAATTCTGAAATAATCTGAACAAAGTTGCCAAGTGTTTGTGGTAAATCAGGGTTTGCAGTATCAATAAAACAGCAGATTTGAAATCCAGACATAAATAAAAGACAAAAGAATTTTAAAATTCCAATTTTTCTTACAAGTTAAAACATTCTGGAGACCTAAAATTTATGTTTTATTATGTAGAATATCGGTGGAAAGAAAGCAACTACAGGCTGTTCCAGAGAAAACACACATAAGAGTCTGTAGAGGGAACAGGGTAGGAGAAAGGGAGAGAAAAAAGCAGGAGGCCAGATACCAGCGTTTTTAGTTCTCCATTTCACCTCAGTCTGGTTCACTTTAGGGTAAGCCTCAAGATGAAGACTGAGCAGTGATGGAAGCCCCAGGAGAGGAATGGAGGTGGGGGTGGCTAAAATAAAAAAAGGCTGGGGCCCTGCAACATGTTGGGACTTAAGGAAGAGGCCAATTGGCCTAGTACTGCATAACAATAGTAAGCAACTGCAGCTGAGTAATGAGGGCTAAATGCTCATAAATAGTCCTCCACCCTCCTCTCACCTTTGATTCCACACACTCTAAGCCTAATGAAGGAACTGTCTCAAAAGTCACTGTGTGCCCACAGTGGGGAACAGAGAAATCATTGGTTAATTAAGAAGGGGTCAGATGAGTATCATGACTGAGCTTCAGCAGAACAGCAGTGGCAGCAGAGACTAAAGTGGAGCCATGTCAGAACAGTGTAACCTGTTTGTACAAGGAAAAGGACCTGCAGGCACTTGCAGTGCAGAGAAAACAAAGTAAAACATAAACATGACTTTCATCTACCATAGATGTCAGAAGTAGATGACAGCAGGATGAGCAACAACCAACTGGGACAAAGGACATCCTAAGGGATACCACTAGTCAAATTAGAGATTTTCTGATGCCTCAAGCTATATCCAGGTATCATGACGGCTAGGAGAAAGGGAAAAACAAACCATTTTAAAATGAAAGAGATGAGTTACCTTTAAATGATATGTTTAGAATCCCATTTATCCTAGCTCCTCCTACCACCATTAAAGAGAATCTAAGCTTCAGAAAAAAAAAAAACATTAGATATAAAGAATATGACTTTTTTCTCAGATGTAAGTTCAGCATATGTGAGATTTAACCACTTACCCTATAGTAGTAACACAAGAATTCCCTTGCAGCCAAGGTTCTAAGAAATGGCAGCACTGAATAGAGAAAGAGGAGGCTGTTTCTGTTGATCCCAACCCTAAATCAGAAAGGATATTGTCATGGGTATGATAATTAATAGCAAGACAGTGGCCATCCCTACACTTCTGTTATATGCAGCATGATTATTATTTACATAATTAAATTGTTTTACACATCTGTTTTGTTCTATAAGAGATTATCACAAATACTCTTTGGTTATCCTTGGTTGAAGACCATTAGTATTTAACCAAGTAAGTTTAGTGTAAATAATTCTTACTTTTAAGCAATTTGTTGAATTAAATCATAATGAAGATCAGAATCCCAATTTAGATATCCATTTTCTTCCTTTAATTAGTGTAGGTGTGGGGAGTGTCTTCAAGGGAAAGAAATAGTATCAGTTCAGTAAACTCAGGTCAATGGTTTATGTTGCACTCAACTGGTAGTAATAAAAAAAAAATTTCAAACCCCTGGCCTTCCTACAAGCACATGTGAAATAAATTATTTGGCTAGTGAAACTCTCAAGGTGACTGAAAACATATACATCACAAAATACTCCAGTGTGCATGTTATAAGACATGTGTTAGATGGCCTTGGTGAATAAGCAAGCTAACACAGTATTCTTAAGCACTCCTTCATCGTTCAAGAAAAGATGAGTGCAGAGCTGGGGGGCAGTCTTGGGTCAGTGTCAATGAAAAGTGAAGAAAGTGAAGGTATACACTTTCTATTCTGCAGGTCAGTTGGGTCTTGCTGAGTCAGTTAAGACCCAGCTAGCCATCAACATCTCAGGGCAAAGTCTGCTCAGCAGGACTTTGCACACTCTGCAGATCCTTAAGAAATGGGTTCTGAAATATCCAGTATTAGCCACTATGTAATTAAAGCAACTCCTATTAAAATGCTTGGGGTATTCTGATAAATTGAGAAGTCTTTAAATCAATTATCTGTGCAAGATCTCTGAATGTTCAAATAGCCATTTAGATTGTTTTAAAAATCTGCTTTGAGTGTCTGTGCTGGCTTAAATCTGATGCTGATTCCATCAATTGCCTTCTTCCCCTTCAAAAATTTCAAATCTAAATAGAAAACCCTAAATTACGGTCTCTTTCAAAAGTGATTTCATTATGTCTTTGGTATTACTGATGGTTACGCTGTATGAGATATTAAATCATAACCCTGTAAGATTATGGAACTTTTCCTCAGCCAAAATGTCATTTTATTTTAATTCTTTGAGGTTGCACTTTTTTTTTAATATAATGTAGGATTTGGTGGACTGTAATTAAATGATGGTCAATGGACCTAAATTTTACAAGCAATTAGATATACTGTACTTTTTTTGCCCCTCTGCTGAGAATATATGCTGGCTTTGTGGAATCACTAAGATGTATCCTTCTGCCCCCACTTTCTTTTAGTTCCTGCTCAGTGCAAGAGAACACACAGAATTCTGCAATGATTTCCTTCTATTACTGCCTGTAATATCTACTTCACATTCCACTAGAGAAACTTAATGAATACAGGAACGTAAAGGACCATTTAAGCATTTTTCCATGTTCTCTTCACCTTTTATGTTTCTTTCACTGTATAAACTCCCTCCTCTTCCCGCAATTCCACTCCTTTTAATTGACACACAAAGCTGAAAATGGGCAGGTTTCAAAGGCCTAGAATATCTTATACTCATGCAAGAATATAAGAGACTTACCATGACATAACTCTTTAGATACTTTCAATATTTTTTAAATTTGAAAACAAACCCAAATCAAAATTCAGAGTTTAGAATAACAAGAAAATTTGCATTGACAGATATCAAGCTACTGTCACAATTGGGCCAAGTATCTTTTCTCCAAATTATTTATTTTTAGTCACTTTCTTTAAAACACCTACAAGTATGATTGTTGTATTATGGTACCTATGTCCTCTTGGGAAAGGGCACTTATGAGAATTATTAAATATTATTTCATCAATAATTACATGGCTTTCATACTTCATGATGGGCATAGCTGGAAGACCACTTTCATCATTATATTCCTTTTCTAAGTATTTTTTATAATGTAAACATGGTTGCTGTGCTGTGATCCCAAAGGGCATTATGAAAAATAGATACACACACAAATATAGGCACATATCCAATTTTACATATTATATATTATTAATGGAAGGGAATATATATTATATATTACTAAGGGAAAAGAATACATATTATATATTACTAAGCCTCTGGGGCTCCTATCACTCTTGATTCCCATAGCAACATAGTTGTTGGATCAGTCAAAACCCCACAGAGACATATGGAAGAGTTCACATCTTCTATGCGGGACCTCCTCAGGATACTCTAATTTGCTACAGCTGCGCCCATGCCCATTCACTTCTAGGTTCCTGGCAAGCCCAGCCTTGATGGTTGACAGGTGTGGGAGCTACTGGCTCAGGGGAAAGAAAATTAACCCTATTTCTGCCAAAACCCACCCTGCAGTAGTAATACATAGTTTCTTTTATAATCAATTTTCTACCAATGCCAGCCCTGAACAGACAAACAAGAGGCTGATTCATTATTTGTAGGTCTGAATAAGGAAAATCTTCATTACTCACCATGATCAACCAGTATAAAATTTTTAATCAGTCAGAAAACTTTCTAGTCCTAAAAGCACTGGGACACAGGATTATCACTAAGGATATTACTTAGAGGTGGAAAGATGAAGATATGAACAACTGGTTTAGTACTCACACTGGAAGACCTTGAAATATCTTTGGCTTATTCTGAGGAGAAGAGAAAGCCACTGCTCTGATCCTCCTTTGCACATTTTCCTCTTCAGAAAAGCAGGCCCTTATAAATTTTTTAAAAAATTGAGCCATTTTGAAATGGTATATTTTTGACCATTTTAATTATTTGATTTGTTTTCTTTTCTGCCGGGTGCACAGTCAGAGGTAAACTAAAATGGTTTGTGCTGGTAGTGGGCCATAATAAAAAGCTCAGACGACAGTGGAAAATTGCTTTTGTGTTGAAGGGAAGCATTAATAAAAGCTTCTCTCATGTTTACCCTTTTAAATTGGCCCTAGAGGAGTTGTTTAAACTACCCCATTGGCAGCGGTTGGCTGATACATTGGTTGTGAAATGTTCTCTGACCATAGGTGGTAGTTGAGTTTAGAAATATCTACCTTTTTCTGACCTAGTTTGGCTTATCATTGAAGTTTCATTTAAACTCTTTTGTCCCCTTGTGATATGGTAAAAGCCTTAAGTCTTTGCCCATAAAGAAGATATTTGTTCTGTGTCTAAGAAAATGTCACATTTTGTTTCCCACAAGGGTCTTATAAGAAATCATTCTATGTGTGACGTCAGGGCTTCAACAGACACAAGTAGCTAGGGATTTTATTTTTTAATTTACAAGAAAAGTAACCAAAGCAAAATCAAAGTAGGGTTTTTTCTATGTGACATTTTCTGCACTGCCCTATATTCAACTATACATATGAGATACCCAAGAAAGTGCACTAAATAACTTTTATAGCTCACTTGGGAGTCCTTCTGTTGAGTCAGAGAGTAAGAAAAGATTCATGTAGTTCAGCTGTCCAAGGGTACTCAGCATGAGAAACCAGCGCAAAGTGAAGGCTCCCCTAAGATGGCCTCTCTTATTCCCACTGCTCTGTCATTCCATAATGCTTGTCTTCTCACCCTTGGCAGCATGACAGGTGCTACACTCAGAGCATCTGCAAAGGCAGTTAGTAGAAGACGAGATCTTTTATAGAAACTCAAATGTCACCTCTGGAGGATTCAGCTGATAAGGGTAAATAGTTGGTACTCTATTTAACTTCACTTTTAGTTTTGAATCTTGACATTTTCTCCAGTGAAAGAGGAGGGGAACTTTTATGTATTCAGCAGCCACTGAGGGCCAAAGACTTATATTAATTTTTTGGATCACTTGGTTTTTCACAACAAATATATAAAATATAGGTTTTCTTTTGCACCTAATTTTGTAGATAAGGAAATTTCAACCATTAAAGATTAAATTTTCTCTCACCAGACTAATGTGTGAGAACCCAAATGTTTATTCTGATCCAAGACCATCTCTTTCTTCTATATCAAGCTTTCCTCTTTGGAAAGAAAAATAGGAAAAATGTAATAATCTTTTTAGCAATATGTCATAGGATGAGTCTTGAATATTTTCTAGTTTAACTTTTCTTCATGTAACAGAGAAGGAAATGAGGACCTATAGTGAAAAAAGGACTAGCCCCAAATCACACAGTTCTTTTTGTCTCTTTTATGAGTTTAAATAATATAATCTTCTTTAATCAAGTTTTTTGTATAATTTTTATAAAATTTACTTAGAATAACAGTCAGATGAGCTTTGACAACACTAGTATAATCAGCATCACAATCAAGATACATAGAATATTTCCATCACCTGGAAACTTCCCTTGTACTTATTTGATGTCATTCCCCAACTTTTTACTTTAGACATCAGAGATAAGCTTTATGTCACTACAGATTAATTTTTCTTGATCTAGAATTTCATGTAAATAAAATCATGTAGTACACAGCTTCCTTAGCTTGCCATAAGGCTTATTATATTTGTTCATGTGGTTGGGATACCTTAGTGGTCTTTTTTTTTAACTGTTAGTATATTTCATCACAGGCGTATACTACATCTTGTTTCTCCTCTCACTTGTTCACTTGTTCACTTGTTGATGGTATTTGTGTGGTTTACAGATTTTTTTTGCCTATTGAAAATAAAGCTTCTATAAACATTTCAGTGCAAGGACTTTCATGTCTCTTAAGTAAATAATTAGTAGTAGAGTTGCTTGGTTGTATGTTAAAAAATGGACAAACTGATTTCCAAGGTGGTTATTCAATTTTATATTCCTACCAACAACATATAAGACTTACAGTTGCTCCACAACCTTGAAAAACCTTACTATTTTCAATAGTTTCAAATTTAGCCATTCTAGGACGTGTAGAGCAATATTTCATTTGGGTTTTACTTTTATTTCTGTAAGGCCTAGAAAGATTGAACCTCTTGTTTTATGTTTGTTAGCCATGCATTTATCTTTTTTGGTAAAATAATTAATCAACTCTTTCGT